AAACCAGTTATGTGCTTCATTCCACTTTCCAGCACTTGATACATATTGTGTGGGTTACCAGGCATCAAAACACATCCAAATGCTATTTTACTGCCTCCACTATACATTTGAGGCCTAATTATTGTCTGCATGAAAACAATTCGCTTCAAATTCCCCTCTAATATTTCTACCAATTATTTATATTCTCTCTCTTGCCAGTTGTTGCCATCTCAGCTAAATGAGATAGATTCCTCCTTTCTTTATCCTATCCACTTTATATATATATATATCACACATGATTGTATGTGTCTCAATGTGCTTTCCTTTAAGCCTCCTCTGTTTAAAAGAAAACAACTCCAACCTCTACAATTATTCCTCAAAATACAAATACTCCAGTTTGAGCAACAGTGTGGCACTGTGGCACAGTGTGGAATTATTTATTAGACTGAAATTTTAATATCCAACATTTTTGGAAACTTTTCTAAAATTTTGTAGTCAGAACAAGTGAAACAACTATCAAGAAGGCAATAAAAACACAAGGATGATGAAAGCGTAGGTATTCTGTTGATTATGGAGCACAATATATTTTTGCTGTTCTGAAGGCAGAATCAACTAAAATTAGCGCTGGGAAAACATGTCTCAAGCATTTAATTTCCAGTTCAAAACACGTTCAAACCGAAATATCCATGTGCTAATTTGGGAGAAATTCGCATTCCCCAACAGTAGCTGTGTTATTGCTTTTATGTTTATTATTACTTTTAAGGAGCAATTTAGCTTAATTTAGTTGAGAAATGCAAATATTCAGTTTCTACCTTTTGGACAGCCATTTACCTCAAATGACATTTTTAAAGACTGCATTCCGTGTTTTATTTTTAACTGTGGACTGAAATGAGAAACAGCTGATGAGCAAAACATTAACTAAACTTTTAAAAACCCTTGGCAAGCATCATAAACAACTATTTAAACAGGTTGGATTTGAAGATTGTGTGGCAGCTGATTTGGAGCCAGTGGCAGGAGTGTACAAATGCATTTTTGTTGGCAACACAAAGTGATTGGTCTATGGACTATTGATGAGCTGTCATATTACTGAGACCTTTTTTCCTGCAACAACTGTGTAATTGGCTCTCAGGTAATTGAACAGCTTGGAGCTGGAAAGAATTTACAGAAAGAGAGAGTGAGAAGTGTTCAGTTCTTCTCCAGCTCAGGAGCACTCTCTGTTATCTGCAGACAAAACTCGATGTAAAAGTGAAGAAAACTGATTTGCCTTTCCTAAAGCAATTGTTGTAAGCTGTGACTTTGAACTGAAATTCTGAGATCTTTTACAAGGTAACTGGCCACCTTATATATCATTAGCTGGTGGTAGAAACCAGAGGAAAAAAAAAATCAAAGCAACACACTGGGCCCCCAGAAGAATCATAAAGATCATCTCAACAACATACCTAGGAACTGTCTTTCCCCTCTGTTCATAACCCAGTTTTCCCTGTCTGTTTACCTGTGTGTGCATGTACGTGCATTTGTAGGGATATTAGAGCTTTAATTAGTATTATTGTATGCTGACAGTTTATAACTGATTGTGTATAACCAAAGTAAGGTCAACCTAGCTCCAGAGGTCAACACTCTCATTGGAAAGAAACACCCTGTGGCAATTTTCACCTGGGAGTCACTATGCTTCACCCAAGGAGCAAGGTTTACAAAGTTGGACTTTCATGGTAACGTCAGCCAATGCAGCAAATGAACACACACTGTTGACATTACTCTGCTTGGCAAACCAGCCATCCAGCCAACTCAGCTAACCAACCCCTGCAGCTACAGACTAGTTATTTATAATAATAATAGTGATTCTTGTTCAGAACAGAAACTGTGTCCATGCTTTCTATCAGTGTGGATCTGAAAGTGAAGTAAAATGGGAAACTTTGCATACTTAATAAAATATTCAACTTTTGTGATGACTTCATGAGTAGCGAGCTCTATTTCTGACAGTGACCCCAGTGAGTCACAACACATACAGCCATTAATTAAATTAGAACCAGGTAAGTTATAGATAGATAACTGTCAGAGAACAGATGGTAAAATATTGTAAAAATGCAATGCCAAAAAAAAAGGATATGCACACTTTTATCCACGTTTAATGATGGCACCAAGGTAATTGCCAAAATAATAATTGCAGGTTGGCACAGTCCTTGCAAATTGATTGTCAATAATAATTGAATTAATAGCACAATGCAAATGGAGCTCATTTAGCAGGAATGTGAAGTGATACAATTTGCATCTGAGTTTAACTGATCAAAGCATTTGCTAAACGGAAGGCTGGGTAAGTGATTCAAAAATCATCAAAAACTAATGAGCAGTTGCAAAAAGTTCTGAGAGTGATCTCGACGCTTAGCTGCAGGGTTCAGTTATATTCTGCTGCTTGTAGCATGTGAAATTGAAGTGACCATGCACTGTACTATATGCAGCAAGATTTGGATTCTTCACATCAACTTATATCTCTGGACAGGTTAAGTCCTTTTAAAGGGTTCAGCATTTCATTGCAAAAGGAAGTTGACCAGCAAGAATAGCATGGCCATGAATTTATTTTTTAAAAAAGCATGTTTTTAAATGTAAGTATATTTATTCTTCCAAAACTGAGACACATATTAGCATTGTCCACCTGCAATTATATGTCACCATTAAGATATGTTTTATATTCACAAATTACAGGAGTTTCATCATTGGGCTTAATTATAAATTTTATTGAATGCAATTTCAACTGATTTCCATAATTTTCCATGGTGGGATTTAAACCCAGGTCCCCAGAACTCTACCTGAGTTGCTGGCTTAATAGGCTAGCATCAATTGTGTGTGATTAGCCTCTGACAGAACCAAGACTTTTAGTTTTAGCTTTCTGCGATTGCTGGAGTCTTGAAGTTGGATATGGAAACTCTTTTTCCTCTCTCTGTGACAGCTAAAAGTTGGGTTTCTCTTCCAGCTGCTAGATTTACATGTGAGATATTCTATTTTATGGAATTTGCCTTTGCCAAGTATATGTTTATGGGATGTTTCCATATTGGAACAGTTAATTGGGAGTTGTTAGTTTGTATATTATTCTCTTATCACAAAAGTTAAAGATGTGGTCAGACTAGCTTTCTGGACTTAACAATAACTGATTTTTTTTTTCAAATAAATAGATTCTCACTGCAGAAAAACAATTATGAATTGTCAACATGTAATTCTACTCCTGAAACTCAAACCTCCTGATAAACCCGCTGCTACACACAGCCAGACAGATACAACAAAGAAGATGTGTGTTATTATCGGTTTGCTGAGATGACTCTATTGTCTTGCCAGGACTTGCTGCTCCTCGTCCTGCTTTTGCTAAGTACTGTCATTGCATGCGGGAAGCTCAAGTGACTGGCTCACAACTTATGAAGTTTCTGACATTACTTGTAGAAACTGGTGAGGGAAAATAACTTGGCTTTCTTCAGATTTTCGACGTTTTTCACTGCAAGAGAAAAGGACACCACTTTCCCTTTTGTTCATTTTTTGTGGGATGCGAATCTCTGGCAGGCCTAGTATTTGTTCTGTATCTCTAAGTTGACTAATGTCAATCAAGTTATGAGGACCCTTGTGCTTGTGGGTAGGAGGATTTCCTTCCTATGGCAGGTATGTCAATAACTAATGTGATGAAGCATTTCTAATGTGTATTATACAAAATTAATTCTACAGCTTGGATTTTGAACTCATTGTATGTGTGCGTTGGTCTGTGTGCAATTATGCATTCAATTATTAAACAGTCAGTTTTTTTTTTCTGGAGCCATGGTTGTTTTAAAACAGCATGTGGGTGAGTGAGTGATAGAGAAGGAGAGAGAAAGAGAGAGTCCAGAGAGTGAGAGTGGGAATTTGTTTGCATTGTGAGAGGTTTATGATGGTCCGTTATAAGGCTTAACCATTCATTTGGTCAGAATGTATCCATCAACCAGCTCAGTGTAAAGCAGACTATCTGTGATCTGCTCATATCAGATCAATAATGATACAAATTAAGATGTACTTGATTGATTGGGAAATGTCTTGGGGAATCCTGCAATTGTGAAGTCTCTATAAGGATGTACTTTTTTTTTCCCTTGCTGAAGCACTAACTGAAACAATTGGACAATATGACTCAATCAAAACATCTACCAGATCCTTATGGATTATTTTCCCCACAGTGACGCTTTGGTTATCAGATGACAATAGTACTTCATTACAGTTTTATTTTTTTCATGCATAAACATTAACAACAATATTATCAGTTCATCAGATAATGATATTATCCATAATATAAATTGGACTACACAACTGATCCTGTTTTTATGTGTCATGTTTGTGATTATTTGATGTTTCAAATTAAAATTGAGTTATTTATTTTCTATTCAAGCCCTGTACCAAGATAGAGCAGAAAGGACGAATGCAAAGTTCCTTCTTTTGCTGTTTTGGGACTCTCCTACATTATACTTACATTGCTTTTGGTAATGTTTGACGTCAGGCAGTTGTGGTTCTCAATTACTACCAATTATTAGACAATATTCAGTTATAATTTGCTTACAAATCTATCTCTGAGCCAGAAGGCCTCAGTTCAAGTCCCACATGTTCCAGAAGTGTGTCATGACATATCTAAATCTGTAGATTGAAAAGTATGGACAAATTAACATGGGTTCCAAATTTTGAACAAATATCACTTATTTAATTTCCATGCAATACATGTGGCAACATTGAAATGCAAACCCAATAAAGCACTTACAACTGAAATAATGTTGCTGGACTGATTGAGTAATTGAAACACATATATTTGTAATTCTGTAATGGATCTTTATGAATGCAAATGCTGTCTACAAAAGGTAGATTTTAAAGGTAGATTTATACCTTTCTGTTCCTGTTGAATCTCTGCATGCAAACCATTGCCATTGATACAACTATAACAATGATAAAATGTAGCTTCATTTGTCATAATTTTATTGATTATTAAAATCAGTAACCTTCGTTCATTTACTGAACAAACTCTCTTTGCCACATATTTAATTTGTGATCTCATGCTTGTTTGATGGAACTGCATTTCTACAACTAACATTTTAATTACATTTATCATCCATTCAATGTCATTCCATAATAATCACTATATTTCATCTTCAAAATTTGCAATTGTAAATGTTGTTGTCAATATTGAGACTGATATTTTACTCACTAAAGGTTGCTTTGCTGGAAAATGTCATAAAATGAATAAAACTATCAGATGTATTAGATGCATATTTCTTTCAGAAATGAATAAGTATTAAGAATACATCCTTTAACAAATAGAGTTCAAGTTTGTTGACAATTTTAAAAGCTGACAATTCACATCTTTGCAAGAAAAGTTTGAAAGACTACTCTACAGCCTAGAACTGAATTGTATTTATTATGCTCAGTATAAACGATCACATTTCATTCACTACTTCATTCATTTAGCTTTTTACAACAGGCTGCATATGTCATTACAATAACAATTACATATTTATTTCAATCATGAAACGTAATTAAACAATGTGAGATATATTGTCACAAGTTTTTTTTCTCTCTGGAACACAAGTGGTGAACGTCATCACAATTACTTCTCAAATTATTGAACGTCCTCATATTCTCTTCCAAATTCAGCATCGAATGAAGTAAATGAATCTGAAAAAGGAAAAAATGGGCTGGTGAAATGAACTTACATGACTCAAGTTAAGCTCCAAAATAATCAGCATTTTATGAATTCAATGTATTGCCAACTGGTTTATTATCAATTAATATTACTCAGTGTATTCATTCAGCTATCACTGACTCTCGAAAGGATTCTAACTATTTTAATTGTGAGTCCTAATTACTATGTATTTTGATTCCTCTGAAACCCATTTAACATTTCAAAATAAAAAAAAAGTTTTATATTTTGAAATGGGAATAGCTTAAAGGAAAATGCATGGCATAAGGACTTGTCAGTTGATTTGAAAATAACGCTAAATTTTGATTTCTGATTGCTGAGGACATTAACGATTTGTGTCTTTTCCATTGGTGACATTTTGAGCAGTTTTAATATGTATCATATAAAGGCGTAGAATTTGTTTATGGAGCCAATCTTTATATTTCTTCTGTCTCTTCTTTCACATTAACGAATGACTCCAAACTAAAAAAAAGATATCTATTGTTAATATGGCAACCTGACTATGAGGCGATTTTTAAAAATCTTGTCTTGCTCTCTGTTGCAAGGTTGTGACAGAATGTTGTAAGAGAGAGCCGCAAACTGGCTTACTTTGCATACGTATATCATCATCTTGATGTAACTCGCTGTCTGTATAATATTCCAGCTTGTTCAGTGAGCTGTTAGAGTGCAAATCTATAAATGGAAAATATTGGAATCTTAAAATTCAAATTGCATGAAAAAATAAAGGTATCATGCGCATATTTGTTTAAGGTAATTACCTGGGCTTGCACCAACGTTGTGAATCTCAATCTCTTCATAAACAGGGCCAGAAAAGCTACCGGGAGAATATTGTGTCCGTCTGTTGTCTGTGGAATCAAGAATGCCAGATTTTACAGGGACAAATGTCAAGGGTTATATCAGTCTCTAATGCCCGCTTCCCCCTTCCATCCTTCTTTATTGATTCCTGGAAACAATCAGTTATTGTGCTCTTATGCAACCTTTTAAATTACATTCACTGAACCCGGAAGGATGCTATGCCTTCAAGAAACTTATGCACCCGTATGTCAATATGCATTGGTTTTGGCAATCACAGGTAGCTGTTAATGAAAGTCATTGACATATTGTAGACATTATTGTGTCTAAACCTTATTAAAACCACAGCTTGCTGCAGCTGTAGACCGAGGCTTCGGAACGAATTCTCTTAAAATGACAATGCAAGGCTCTGAATTGTGAATATGATATTAAATGACGTCAAACATTTTCAATACAAATCATTAAACAGTAACGTTTCTTTTGCTGTATGCGTGAAAAATATCGATCCTTTCAGATTGCAGATAATCAGGGTTCAGTCTAATATCGCGTCAGGAGTGTGACAGAATAATCTCGACTTGCTTGAAAGGACACAGATCCAAAAATACTCAAGACGAATGTTGTTGGTAATACACACAGATAAGAATGTCTCAACTTCACATTGAGGACACACACCATTGCATTATCTGGCATGACTACCATGGTAAATGGAACTTGCAACTGAAGACATGAAATGCATGAGGCACTCCAGGCCACTAGCAACAACATACTGCACTTCAATATAATCTGCAAACTCATTGCCCAGTATATCCAACATTACTGTAAAGGCAACTGGTCAACCCTGGTTTAATGAAGCATACAAGATGGCATGCCAACAGCAACACCATGAATTGTCGACCTGCTGAAGCTACAAAACAAGATAATTGTTCTCAGAAAGCAAAAGTAGCAAGGGATGAAAAGGCCCACGCAATTCCAAGCTATCAGCACTGATCCAAGCTGATCTAAGTACTGCCACATTCAGTGGTGATTAATCATCGATGATTAAAAAAAAAAAACCACTGGAGAAGAAGGGTCCACAAATATTCCCATGTTCAATCATGGGAGACCACGGAACATCAGTATAAAAGATAACGTTGAACCATTTGCAACAATATTCACTCAAAAGCCCTGAGTGAATGATCCAGCTTGGCATCCTGCAGTGCTCCTCACAATTACAGATGCGAATCTTCAACCAATTTGATTCACTTCACGTGATATTAAAAGGAAGCTGGAAGGATTGGACACTGTAAAGCCTAAGAGCCTTGAGAAAATGCCAGAAATAGTCCTGAAGTTACATGCTCCAGAACTTGCCACACTGCTAGTCAAGATATTCCAGTACAGTTACAACACTGGAAAGTGGAAAATTGCCCAAGGTTGTCTTGTGCAAAAAAAAAGGACAACTTTATCCAACCTGACCAATTACCACTACATCAGTCTTTTCTTGATCATCAGGAAAGTGATGGAGGAAGTCATCAACAGTGCGATCAAGCAGCACTTTCTTAGCAATAACCTACTCACTGACACAGAGTTTGGGTACCGCCAGGTTTAGATCCTGACCTCATTACAGGCTTTGTTCAAACATCAAGCTCATATTTGACTGAATGTGGCATGAAAGAGCCTGAGCAAAACAAGATTCAATGGGAATCCAGAGGGAAAATGTCCATTCGTTAGATCATATCTTGTTAAGTCATAGGAAGATAGTTGTTGTTGCTTGAGGTCAGTTATCTCAGCAGGAATTTCTCAGGGTGTTGTCCTTGGACCAACAATTTTCATCTGCTTCATCAATGACTTACCCTCAGAAAATCATCACACGCAGATCCACCAGCATGTCCAATCTATCCCAGTAACCCCACATTCACCATATCTAATCCACCTAGCCTCCACATCCCTGGACACGATAGGGCAATTTAGCAAGGTCAATCCACCTAACCTACACATCTTGGGACAGTGGGAGGAAAGCAGAGCACCCGGATGAAACCCACACAGACTCAGAGAGAACATGGAAATTCCACACAAACAGTCAACCCAGGCGACAATCAAACCTAGGTTCCTGGTGCTACAAGTCAGCAATGCTAATCACTGTGCCCCTGTGATACCCTGGCGCTGAGGTACATCACATGGATGACAGCAGTTCAATAAAGCAGCTCAGCATGGCCATTTAAAGTTAACTAAGGATTTTCAATGGATTTTGGTCCAGGTAGTGTCACTCAGACCCTATGATGAATTTTAAAAAAGATAATCAACTTTATCCAAGACCATGAAGTCATTTTGCTTAGCATACCATCTGCCACCTTTAACATCTGCTCTCCTCACCACCAATGAAGAGTTTCAACAGTGTGTATCCCATCAACACCATTGCTCCTTCAACACCACCTTGTAAACACTTGACTTCTATCACCTGAAATGACATGGGCAGTAGATACATGGGAGCACCATCACCTGCAAGCTGCTCTTCAAGTCATACATCATTGACACACCTCTTGGACCAATATCCATTCTCCACTGTCACTAATTCAAAATATTAGAACTCCATTCCTGGTTACACTGTGGTTGCCTTGACAGCCCATAAACTGCAACAATTCAAATTGGCAGTTCACCATCACTACCCTCTAGGCTTCCAGTGATGGGTAATAAATGATGTCCTAGCCAGTGATGTACACATGCTATGAATGATTTTTCATTTTGAAAACTCCTAATTTATATTTGGAAATGAGGACTTGATTAATTTGACTGATTAACCCTTAGAGTGGTTTTGAGTATTACTATTTACTCACAATTTTATTTATCTGGGTATTCCATGGATTCTCAGCTCATTCAGACATCAGACTGATCAAAATTCATAAAATTATAGATGCCATAAAGCAAAGCAAGAGGTTGTTTGCTTCATCAAGTCTACGTGGACCTAAAATCAGGTCTTGGTTTATATGGTGTTGGTTACCACAGTTTATGTATATATTCATTTATAAGTTTTTACACTTATATACTCTTGCTGAATGTCGCTATCACATTTTCAAACCCAGATGAATCTCAAAATGAGAGCAGTTTTTACAAAATTCCTGATAATCCTCTATCAACTATTTCAGTTCTATGTCATCTCATGACTGAATTCTAAGTCAAGTGAGATAGATTCCGCCACCCACTCTACCCATCCCTCTCTTATAATTTAATCTGCCTTAAGCCTCCACTGTTGAATGAAATAATTCCCTACATAATCAAGCACTACCCTTTAGAATACAGTGTGCAATTCTGGTCTCCATTCTGTAGGAAGAGTGTTGTGAACCCTGACAGGGCTCAGAAAAGATTGACAAGGATGTTGCCATGGTTGGAGGATTTGAGCTTTCGGGAGAGGCCGAATAGGCTGAGGCTGTTTTCTCTGGAGCGTCAGAAGCTGAGGGGTAACCTTACAGAGGTTTATAAAATCATGAGGGGCATGGATAGGGTGAACAGCCAATGGATTTCCCCTGGGGTAGGGACATCCAAAACTAGATGGCATGGGTTTAAGGTGGGAGGAGAAAGTTTGAAAAGGAACCTAAGGGGCAACTTTTTTACTTAGAGGGTGGTGCATGTATGCAATGAACAGCGAGAGGAATTGGTGGATGCTGGTACAATAACAGCATTTAAAATGCATCCGGATAGGTACATGAATAAGAAGAGTTTGAAGGAATATGGGCTAAATGCTCGCAAATGGGACCAGATTATTTTCGGATATTTGGTCGGGATGGACAAGTTGGACTGAAGGGTCCATTTCCAAGTTGTAAAACTCTGTAAAGCTTTGACTCTACCCAATCTTTCATCAGAATAAAAAATTCTTGATAGTGCAGAATTTAAACATTTCTAATAGGAAACTAGAAATTGATGTTGTTTGTCTTGCACTCATATGAACTAGGATGCAAGAAACATAATGTTTGTAAAACAAAGGTTTCATGGTGACAACTAATATCTGCTGTATCCTGTAAACAATTCACTGATCAATCAGAATCTAGCTGACTGGTCTGAGGATTAAAACGGACAGTTGACTGCCCCATCTACATGCCAATAATGCTCTAACCAATCAGTACCCTCGTCGCATGCTGTATAAAATGCAGTCTCATTTTATTCAAGTCTGTTTCTTGTGCCCTTGTCTGATAAGTGCAAGACAAAGCAGCTTCAACCTCTGGTCTCCTTTCAGCAATGTTTAACTAAAATTTTCCAATTGTTAAAATCCTCATATATTGTGTCTATAATGAACACATAATTATATCCTTTCTGCAATCTGTAAGAATTATAGAATGATAACATTAGCAGGAACCAACCAGAATATTTATGGGGCAAGGCTTTTAATATTGAACAAACCAACCTTTCTGGTAGCTTCTTTGTAATTCTGCAGCCAAAGCAAGTGACACAGCAATCAAAAGGATAACAAAAATACAAGGGATGAAGAAAATAGGGGGTCTCTGCTGGTTGAAGGATGCTGTGGATTTTTGATGGCCTGTAATCAAACACATTGAATAATACAAACAAAATTGGCATCATGCATCTCATGTATTAGGGATACAACTAACAGCTTGAACTGAAATATTTGCCAAAGTGGACAAGAAACACATTATCTGGCAGGAAATCTGTTATTGTATTCACTGTTACAATTACTTATAAGTAATCATTTAGTTTAGATTCAGGAGGTTTCACAATCTGAATCTTTCACTTTCCAATGTTTTGTACTGTAATTGATCATTACCTGGTGTTAGCCATCAATTGCACTACGTAGAAATGTTTGGAAATACCATGAACTGTACCATGGATGGGGAAATAATGTACAAATAGAACTTCAGTAATATGAAGAAAGAGACATATATTAAATTTGATGGTGACCTCTAGAGAGTTGGTAAAGTTAATGTTGCAGAAAATAGCGAAATCTGCAAGTGATAAATTAACTGAATGATGGCAAATAGAACTCAGTATGGGTATGTGTTCAGTGATACACTTTGGACCTAAGATTAATAGATTAGCGTTATCTTCTAAATGAAGCTAAATGTGAGGTACTGCATTTTGAAAAGACAAATCAGGGCAGGACCTACACGCTTAATGGTAAGGGGAGTGACTGAACAAAGAGACCTTGGAATGCAGGTTCATAGCTCCTTAAAATTGGAGCCCCAGGTAGACAGGTTATTGAAGAAGACATTTGGTCAGCGCTTTGGTTATAGTAGTTGGAAGGTCATGTTGCGGCTTTACAGGACATTGGTTACACCACTTTTGGAATACCGCATACAATTCCCATCTTCCAGCTATATGAAGGACATTGTGAAACTTGAAAGGGTTCAGAAAAGATTTACAAATATGATGCCACAGTTGTAGGGTTTAAGCTACAGGGAGGGGTTGAATAGACTGGGGCTATATTCCCTGTACTTTCAGAGGCTGAGGGGTGATCTTGTAGAGGTTTATAAAATCATGAGGGGCATGGCTGGCGAAATAGACAAGATCTTTTCCCCCATGTGGGGGAGTCAAAAACTAGGGGACATACGTTTAAGGTGAGAGGGAAAAGATTTAAAACGAATCTAAGGGGCAACTTTTTCACTTAGAGGGTGATGCATGTATGGAATGAGCTGCCAGTAGAAGTTGTGGAGACTGGCACAATTGCAACATTTAAAAGGCACCTGGATAGGTATATGAATAGGAAGGGTTTAGAAGGATATGGGACAAATACTGACAAATGGGACTAGATTTACTTAGGATATCTGGTCGGAATAGACGAGTTTGACCGAAGAGTCTGTTTCTGTGCTATACATCTTCATGACTCTAAGCAATGATGGTATATGTAAAAGGACTATAATTGGTGTTACACACAATGTCAGAATGGAGAATTCTTGAGGATCTAATACAACTTTAGGTTACAGAGATAGGGAAAATGACAGCACAGAGTGTTTTGAATGCAAGGATGAGTGCAGTAAAATCAAGATTCAATTTAAAATGGCATACCGGAACATATCAATTTGACATCTTCTTTATGTTCACAGTCACGATCACCCATTATTGATAATTGGCAGTCCCACAGGAATAATTCACTCCCCTTACATTTAACTTCATCAATCCAAATTGTGCCATTTCCTCCTTCCAATAGCACCTCTTCCAGAGCTAACATTGGGTGGCCACAATTTAATTGCCTACAGACGACAGCAGCATCCTGTTTATCCCAGGAATCATCACAAATTGTTCCCCATGTACCATTGAAGAGTATTTCAACTCTTCCGGAGCAATTATTAAATCCTGCAGCCAGCCGCAATTCTGCAGAAACAAAATTATATGTGAGAATTTGATGTGTTTTAACTTGTAATTGAATACAATTATTTTGTTTGCCATGTTCAGAATCAAAAAAAAATGACACAGTGTGTATCATCAACAAAATGCCATGCAGTAATTCAGCAAACCTCTTTCAACTGCTCTTTCTTTATATGTAACCTCTGACTCAAAGGTAGACAAGGTCAAAATATGCATGGGAGTACCGGCAACTGCAATGCCACTCGAAGCGTCACCTCATCTAGAAATTCAACGTGATCATGTTGCCTTTCCTGTTGCTCAGGCAAAGTCATCCATCTCCCCTATGTAGCAACACTGTGAGTACGGATCATGAAGTCAGATCACCACCCCATTCTCATGTGGAATTAGGGACATATAATAAATGCTGGATTAGCCAGTGACAGCCAGGACTTGTGAACGAATAACAAAAAATCTCACAGGTCTGCAATAAATTGATGCAATCCAAAAAATAAATTGCCCCAATTTGTACAGTGGAAGATAATTGTTCACTCTTGTTTTTACAAATTTTGAAAGAGAGAGAAAGCTTAGAACATGGAAATGGAGCCACATTCATTAAAATTAAGCCTGCTGAGTGTCATTGAAAACCTGACATACAGTTATGGAGAACTTTGACAAATTCCAAATGCCAGGTTTCCACAGTCCCTATGAGGGACAATGTTTTCATTCCAGTGTGGAAAACTGAATAGCTGTAGTCTGACAGCTGATGCTGTGTGGCTTTGTTCAGACTCTCTTCACCAATATTTTGTCCCAGAATTAATCTTTCAACTCTTACCATTGACGAGCAATACCAAATTGTCAGGTGTTTAATGGCTACTGCCAATATAACCTATCCTGTTAGGGGTGAAACCAGCTGGCATGTAGACAGTTGCACACTACACTTGACTCTGGAAAGTGCACTCGCTCGTGTACATTAAATACTTTGTATTAGTGATGCGAAGTAATTGGTATTAGTGGTGTAAAGGTTGAAGTGATGGACAGATGTAAAGAATCAGTTTGGTATTGATTTATGAAATTCCACTAAGGAACAAAAAAGGAAACCTACTGTATGACATTTGTTTGTTTCCATATCAATAATTACCAAAATTTTCTGAAACTGGTTCAGTTTTCCTGTTCTTCGTGTCTCCCTCATTGCGTGTTTTCCTTGGACCGAGTTCTAAAAAAGAACTATTTTGTTACTTCAGCAAAAACTTGTGTTTATACAGCACACTAAATGTCCCAAGCCACTTCATTGGACCATAATAAAATAAAATATAACACGAAGGCTCAAAGGGCATATTGGGTTAGAAAAGAAAAGTCATGGTCAATTATGGCCAGATTTTAAAGAGGATTTTAAGAGAGGAATGTATGTATAGAAGCAGGGAGGTGTAGTGAAGTAATTATGAAGCTGAAGACCTAAGCAACTGAAGATAACACCATGAATTGTGCAGTAACTATAATTGGAAATGCCCAAGACACCAGGCTTGGAAGATGGCAGGTATTTTGGAGAGTTTTGGGGCTGCAGGAGTTTAAAGTAATAGGGAGTTGTTAAGCCATGGAAGGAACTATTAACTGGGACGAAAATTTCAAAAGAACTTGCTGCTTGACAAGGAAACCATGCAGGTGTGAGTGCAAAGGCATTATCTGGACACTGACAATAAACATGTGAATAGCCTCAAATTTAAGAGTGAAAGAAATATTAAAACATTAGTGAAATATTTCAAGAGAAATAGATTCCATTTGTAGTTCTCACCTGAACAGATGACTCCAACATCCTCCTTGTGGTCACAGTTATGTTGGCCCCATGGTGAAGATGGACATTGCCAGAGGAGTGTATCATGCAAACGACAGTTCACATCATCGAGCCAGATCTGTCCAGAACCGCTTCCAAATGTATTAGCACTTTCCACAGACTGGGCAGATCCACAGCTGAGCTGTTGACAAACAACGTCTGCTGCTGCCTTTCCAAAGGAATCAGCACAAACCGTCCCCCAGGTCCTATTATAATAAACTTCGACTCTGCCCTGACAGGGGTTCGCTCCATCCTGCAGCCTAACAGCTCTGTGGTCTATAGAACAAAGAGTGAACTTTAATCTGGAGCATGAACTGAAATTACTGGTGAAACTCAGCAGGTCCGGCTTCGTCGGAAGAAGCCAGAGCTATCATTTCAAGTCCGGTAACTTCATCAGAACTGAATAACAGTTCAGAAAAAAACCTGATATTTATGCTGAAGAAGTGATTGGGAGGGGAATGTGGGAAGGAGAGATGATCAGATAGATAGAGGTGGAGTCCAGAGAGAGAGGTATGAAATGGATAGGTAAACATGGGGATTATGGATAGCAAGCCAGGACAGAAGATAAACTGAACAAGTGGTATTGAAAGCTGGGGCTATCAGGGAATGATGTTGAAGTCCTGGTGAAGGGTCCTGAACTGAAACATCAACTCTCCTGATCGTTTAATGCTGCCTGACCTGCTAGGGTCCTCCAGCTCCACACTGTATTCATTCTGACTCCAGCATCTGCAGTTCTAGCTATCTCCTCATAGCAAAGAATGGATAATCTGTGCTGAAAGCAAGCTATGCAATGTGATAATCAGCCAAAGAGTGGGTGAAAATGCGTTGGCTGAGCAAAAAGCAACCCATGTCGTAACAGAATTAGGTGCGGGGATGAGTAAAAAAGATAGAAGGATGGAATCAAGCTGTAAAGTTGTGACAACAAAGCCAGAAATTGCTAGAAAAGCTTAGCAGGTATGGCAGCATCTGTGAAGAGAAATCAGAATTAATATTTCGAGTCCAAAGACCCTTCCTCAGAAAGGACTGGAAACATTCACTCTGATTTCTCTTCCCAGATGCTGCCAAACCTGCTGAGCTTTTCCAGCAATTTCTGTTTTTGTTTCTGATGTACCGCACCCACCATTCTTTTAGTTTTGTAAAGTTATTGAACTTGATGTTGAGCCTGAGGCTTACTGGAACACTGCTGAATGCTTCTGACTGAAATGGTGGCTTGGGAACATGGTGGTGTGTTAAAGTGGCAGGTAATTGGAAGCTCTGGATCATTTATATGGACAGAACGCAGGTGTTCTGTGAAGTGGTCACCCAGTTTGCATTTCATTCTCCCCAGTGTAGAGGAAACCATGTTGTAAACAACGACTGCAGTAGACTAGATTGAATGAAGTACAAGTAAATCACTGCTTAACGTGGTAGGTATGTTTGGGGCCTTGGATGGTGAGGCGGGAAGAGATAAACGAGCAAGTGTTACACCATCTGTGAATGCATAGGAAGGTGCCACGGGAACATGAGGTGATGCTGAGAATTAAGAAGGAGTTGACCAGTGTGTCCCAGAAGGAATATTCCATGCGCGTTGCTGACAAAGATGGGGAGGGATATATGTTTGGGCATCCTGTTGGAGGTCATGGAAATGGCAATTTACAAACCTTTGAAAGCAGAGGCTGTTGGGGTTGTAAGTGAGGACCAGGGGAATCCTATCGTATTTGTGGGCAGGAAGAGAAGCTGTGAGGCCAGAAATTCAGGAGATAGAATAAACATATCTAAGGACTCTGTTGGCCATAGTAGCATGGAATCTTTGATGTAGTTGAAAATGAGCATTTCTGAGCGCCCCTCCCCCGCCCCGTGGAATGTGGCATCATCACAACAGATTTTATGGAGATGGGAAAATGGGCGAATGCGATGGAGTTCTTACAGGAAGCAAGGTTTGAGGATGCATTGTCCAGGTAACTATGGGAATTAGTTGGTTTGTAATGGATAGTGGAAGCCAGCTTCTACCCAAATGGAAACAGGGTTGTCAAGAAAGGGAAGGGAGATGTCAGAGCTGAAACAGGTGAAGTTGACAGCAGAGCGAAAATTGGAAACAAAATTGATCATTTTTTCCAGTTCAGAATGAATGAGAGAAGCAGCATCGATGATGTCATCGATTTTTCAGAGAAAGAGTTGTGAGGGGCCCAAGTAAGCCTTGAACAAGGAATGTTGCAAGTACCCTAAAGAGAGACAGATATAACTGGGACCTATGTTGGTACCCAAAGCCACACTTTTGTTCTGAAGAAAGTAATAGGAGTTAAAGGAGACATTGTTCAATGTGAGGATGAGTTCAGCAAAGTGAACAAGGGTGGTGGTGGAGGCTCAGCATCATGTCTAGCCCGAAATCCATTGAGGTAGGAGCACAGAGGAATGACACTAAGACCTTTGGTGAGGACAGAATGTTCCAAATCGAACTTTAACCTTCTGTTCAGTTCATGAGCTGTTCATCTCAATTGTGCAATTGAAACATCAAGCTTTCTGTTCTGTTTTTTTTCAGTGAGATCAAAGAACCATTCCTACAGGACAATAACTTTAAAAATACATAGGAATAACAATCCATGCAGAAGTTTGTTCAAAGAATTCTGTTTGTTAGGACTGGAAAGAGTGAATATCTGAAAGGACATGATACCTGAGCAAATAACTCCAGCATCTTCTTTATGATTGCAGTCGCTCTCGCTCCACTGCCCTACCAAGCATTCCCACAGGACAGAATCTTTCATGTTGCAGTTCACATTGTCTAACCAAATAGGCCCCACTCCTGGACCAAACCAACTGGAAACCGTTGCATTTAAAGCCTGCCCACATTTCAGCTGGTTACAGACAACTTGGGCGTCTGCTAAATCCCAAGAATCATCACATACAGTTCCCCAGCTTCCATTGTAGTAAAGTTCCACTCTTCCAGCACAGCGACTTCCACCATCCACCAATCTTATCTGAAAATGATCTGCAGGACAGAAATAATTGTATCAAACATTTTCTTATCCAGGTTACAGTTCCGGTCCTGCATGCAACAGCTTTGTTGCAAATTTATATCCCATTTCTCACTGTTTATATGCAATGATCATTTTCTTCCATTTTGCTGAATGTGCTGAGCCTTTTTGTTTCCATTGTCAATTCAGAGTGTTAATCAGTAAAAGATTCAAGGGTTATGAGTAAAACGCAGGAAAGTGAAGTTGCGAATTCTCAACCACGATCTTATTCAACAGTGCATTCCATGGGCTAGGTGGCCTACATCTGCTCCTTTGTCTTGCTGCCTTAGGTCCAAACCAAATTCAAAATGAAAATGAGCTGCTGAGAATGATCAGCTGCAGCCCCTCACAACACAGATACTACGATGCTACAAATAATCATGGATACAAAAGGAAAATGCAAAATGACTAATTCAATGATTTTAACATGTAGAGCTCAGCTCCATCTGAATCTGCTTGAAAAATGATGTCTCCAAGTTTTAAAATCCAGTCTCTACATAAGGGTGTGATAGTTAGGGTCAGAATTTTTTTTTGTCGATCTCTATCTTAAAGGTAATGCTACAGCTGATTGGCTGGTTAGGTTTTGCTAAAGGCATCGTCATTAACCCAATGGGTGTTTGAGAGTCGTTTTGGTCAGGCTGGACAGCACTGTAGGTTTGCTTCTCTCAATTACATCAGTGAAATAGTTGTGCACACTTATAGTGAAAATAGTATTTCAATTGAGCGCTTATAATATCTAAAGTAGACCACTGCCTTGTCCGGCATCCCCAATGCCAGCCCAATATCTATAAGGCACAATGCAGGAGTGCGACTGAATACTCTCAATTTGCCTGGCTGTGCGCAGTTCAAGTAACACTCAACACCATCCAATAGAAAGCATTCAGCTTTCCTGAATATACTATTAGTTTTATTCTTGACTCCGGGGTCTTTATTCCATTGTTGACAGCAGGATAATGGTTATATATGAGTAAATAAAGAAGGTCGTACCAGAGCAAACCACGCCCACGTCATCTACAAAAGGTGACTGCTCCGTTTTTCTAAAACTGCAATTCCGCAGGAAGGGTTCAGTTCCATTGCACCTGACATTAGTGATCCAGGTTGGTCCGGTGCCTTTTCCAAACTTCGAGTGGTTGTAAATGTTTATTGCAGAGCCACATTTCAGCTGTCTGCACACCACTTCTGCTTCATTCAAATTCCACTCAGTGTCAATCACTCTCCTCCAAACACCGTCATAATAAACTTCCACACGGCCTTCGCAAATACTCTCTCCGTTAGCCAGTCGTAACTGCCAATCTTCATCTGTAAGAATGCAATATATAATCAATGTTCATGGAATGTTTTAAAAAGAATCATCTGAATATAAATTATGACCATTCATGTCATTGCGCGATTTATCTATTCCCCAGTTAATGAATAGTGAATAGAAAACAGGAAGGGAAGGCAGCGAATATTTGAAAAGTAGAGATAGTCAGGAAGATTAATGTTTCAAAAGATTCGGTTGGAGCTGCTGTGTTCTAAAGGACAAGCTTTTTACAAGCAAGCACGCAAGATAAAATATAGAGGTATGTTGTCTGTTGCACTTTTTGTTAATTCAAGGGGTGTAGCTGCCGCTGGGAAGGCCAGTGATGGTTTGGAACTTTCATGAGTCTTGCAATCCTATTCTGCAGGTAACGTCACAATTCTTTAAGGGAGTGAATTCCAGGAACTGAAGGAGTATGACGGTGCAGGAAAGTTGGTATTTTACCAAGGAAGAGTGGTGCGCCAGCTGAAAGGAAAATCGCTGGTGCTGGTGTTCCCCAGAGGTTGTTACCTTTAATCACACAAATAATCAACATATCAGGCTTGGAAGTTGTTGGCAATGGAGCTTTGATGAATTACTACAGTGAATCTTTGGATTAACAGATCTGTGCTAAATCTATGTGATGTAGCACATTATTCTTTAAATATCATGACCGAGGGTGTCCTCTGGGTATGGTGATTCATGTCCACAAGACCACAAGATATAGGAGCAGAATTAAGCCATTTGGTCCATCGACTCTGAGAAGTCATTGGATCGTGGCTGATATGTTTCTCAATTACCTTCTCCTGCCTTCTGCACATAACTCTTTATCCCTCTTACTAATCAAGAACTGATCTATCTCTGTCTTTAATACACTGAATGACTTGGCCTCCACAGCCCTCTGCAGTAATGAGTTTCACAGAAGAAATTCCTCCCCATCTCAGGTCTAAAGGGAGGTCCCTTCACTCTATGGCTGTGCCCCCAGGTCCTCCTCTCTCCCCCTCGTGGAAACATCTTCTTGATTTCCACTGTATCCAAGCCTCTTAATATTCTGTAAGTTTCAAGTGGATCTTTCCTCATCCTTCTAAACTGCTTTGAGTTCACGGCTAGAATCCCCAATTGCTCCTCAAATGAGAGGCCCTTCATCCCTGGATCATTCTTGTCAACCTTCCCTGGATGCTGTCCAAGGCCTGCACATTCTTCCTGAGATACACAACCAAAAACTATTCACAATATTAAAAATACACTTTGGTCATAACCTCATTGCAGCCTCAGCAGTACATCTCTGCTCTTGTATTCTAGCCCTCTTGAAATGAATGGTAATATTGCATTTGCCTTCCTAACTGCCAAGTGAACCTGAATGTCAACCTTAAGAGAATACTGGACTAAGATTACCAAATTCCTTTGTCCTTCAGCCTTTCCCTGATCAGAAAATAGCTTATCCCTCTATTCTTCCCACCAAAGTCCATAACATCACACATTCCCAAATTATATTTCATTTGACACTTATTTTCCCACTCTCTGAGCCTGTCCACAACTTTTTGCAGACTTCCCTGATTATTCAACAGGACTGTTTTTGCACCTATCTTTGCATCATCTGAAAAGTGAGCAACAAAACCTCAGTTCCTTCATCCAGATTATTAATGTGTAATGTGAACAGTTGTCCCAACATGGACCACTGCAGAACTCCATTAAGTATTAGCTACCATCCCAAAAAGAGACTCCTTTATCCCTACTCTCTGCCATCTGCCCATCAGACAATCCTCTGTCCATACCAGTACTTTAATGCTCATACCATGAGCTCCTATCTTATTTAGCAGCCTCCTGTGTGGCACCTTATCAAATGCCTTTTGGAAAGCCAATTATATCTCATTCACTGGTTCTCCTTTGTCTAACTTGCTCAATACCTCCTCAAAGAACTCTAACAGATTTGTCAGGCATGACCTCTCCTTGACAAAACTGTGTTGATCAAGTCCGATTTTACCATCCATTTCCAATACTCATTAACAAACGAGTTAAAAATCTCATTTTTAATAATGGACTCTAACATTTTTACCAACGGCCAATGTCAGGCTAACCAGCCTACAGTTTCCTGTCTTCTGCCTTGCTCCCTTCTTAATTTAACACTCCTGTTTATCTCTTTTCCAGTCTTCAGAGACCCTCCCTAAGTACAATGATTTCTAAAAGATCATCACCAATCCTTCAACAATCTCCTCAGCTATGTCCTTCGCAACTCTGTGGTGTAGTTCATTTGATCCAGATGATTTATCCACCTTTAGACTTTTTAGCTTCTCCACCACCTTTGCCTTAGTGAAGGCCTCTGCACACACCCGGCTCATTTGAAGTTCTGGCATGCCGCAGGTGTCTTCCATTGTGAAATATGATGCAAAGTACTTATTCAGTTGCTCCACCATTTCTTGGTTCCCCATTGCTACTTCTCCAGCCTCATTTTCCATCGAGTTCAATGTCCATTCATGGCTTTCTCTTACCTTTTATGTATCTAAAATAAAACTTCTGCAATTTTTTACACGATTACTTAGTTTACTATCATATTTCATTTTCTCCACCCCTATTGCTTTTTGAGTTATCTGCTGCTAGATTTTAAAGGCTTTCCAACCCTTTTGCTTCCCACTAATCTTCACCACATTCTATGCTTTTTCTTCACAATTATGCTGTCCCTGAATTCCTTTGTCAGCCATGGTTGTTTCATTTTCCCTTTAGCATGGTTTATCTTTCTTAGGATGAGTTTCTGCTATTCCTGCCATTACTACTCAATTCACCTCCCTGCCAGGCTCCACTTTCAATCAACTCTGGCCAGCTTCTCCCTCATGTGTTTGTGGTTTCCTTTACCCAATTGGAATACTGCTACATCTGAATCAATCCTCTCCCTCTCAAACTGCAGGGTGAATTCTATTATACTATGGTCACTGCCCAAGGGGTTCCTTTACCTTAAGCTCTCTCATCAAGACTGCTATGTTACACACCCCCAATCTGAACCTGCCTGTTTCTTAGTGGGCTCTACCACAAGCTGCTCCAAATAAAATCTCTTAGACATTCCCCAAATTCCTTTTCTTGAAATTCACTACCAACCTGATTTTGCCAATGCAACTACACATTGAAGACCCCACAGTTTTTGTAATAATGCCTTTCTTACATGTTTTTTCTGTCTCCTGCTTAATTTTCTGCCCCACACCCCGGCGACTGCGAGGAAGCCTGTGCCCAATTCTCATAAGAGTCTTTATTTCCTTTGCAATTGCTCAACTCTACACACACATATTCTATGCATTACAACTCTATGCCACTTATTGCTGTCTGCGTGTTTTTATTTCTTGGTTACAAGGCAGCTCCACCCCCTCTGCCCATCTACTTGTCCTTTTGAAACAATGTGTATCCTTGGATATTTACTTCCTAGCCCTGATCTCCCTGCAGTCTCATCCCTGTGATACCCACAATATCATACCTGCCAATTTCAATCTGTTCTACAACCTCCTTTACCTCATTTTGTATGATTGCATTTAAGCACAACACCCTCAGTCCTCTAATGATTGTCCCCCTTCTCATAGTTGTCCCTTTATCTGCTTGAAGTTAGATTCCTGACTCTTTCCATACTCTCTAGCTTAATACTTGTTCTGGAAACTTTAATAACCTCTGCTGATTCCACCCACCATGTTTAACTGTTTTCATAGTTATCCATGCAACTGATTCCCCAGACTATTGAGTTGAAAGATCTATCACCAGACTTAGGCAATTCACCAGGACTCCTGACTCAACATAATGTGGGTGGAGACTGACTGAGCAGAACAGTCCCTCCTTCTTCAGTTCTGGTGCCATTGTCCAACAGATTTAAACATATTTATCAAAAAAGTTACAACAAAAAATATGTAAACATTGACATTGCTGTCGCAGTCCAAATATGATAAAGGCAAGATGTGCACTAGATACTAAATTCAGCGAGTTTTTGTTTTTGTTTTCAGTGCTACAACCAAGATATTTTGGAACATCCAACCTTTATTGCAACAATTGCACTCATTTATTTTATTTTCTAAATATTCAGCGGACCAAAGTGAATTGACTGATATCTGACTCTAGGAAAGTGCTGAAATGGGTAATCTTCTGGGCTCTTCTGGTGGTACATGCTTGCACATGTGTCAGCCCTATAGTTTACAGTGGTGTATTGAGCACATCCATCCATTGTCAACAGAAATGTTTTTGTAATATCTTCAATAGCTTTTTCGTTAGTTTTCTTGAATTGACAATGTCAAAATGACAATGCTACAGGGAATTAAACTGATCAATTTGTTCACTTAACTTTGTGTTTGTGATCCTGTGGTTTAGTATGACATAAAGCCTTATGTTGAAGCTACTTAACGTTTTACCCCTCAGTCTTAGGTGTGTCTCTTGTTGGCCTAGTCTTCTGCACGCCTCACTGGGTGAGTGTTGGTCATCAGCCTCAAAGATAATGGTATAGTGAGAGGTATGGCACACCAGGAGTTTATTGTTTGTGGTGAAATAAAACATTGCTGCATATTGTAGCCAACAGCACCTTATGGAGACCCAGTCTTGTGCTATTACACTTGCACTGGAACTATCGAATTTAGCGCTGTGTTCATAGCAAACCATTGTTGTGGGCTTCCTCTATGCAAAGATTGCATTTTACCAGAAATTGAAGTCCATTGTAGATACAGCGACCGATATTGCCATCAATGGATGCATCTCAGATGAGTAGACATGGTTAGGCAGTGTACTTCCCTTGCCTTGCTTCACTCATTACCTGTTGCATAGCTACAACTTCACAACCAGCCAAGCATCATCAGTCATGATGGTGGTAACATAAAGCTGGTTACAGACATTGAAGAATTTGACACAGAATGTTGTTAAAGCTCTCATATTAGTCTGGAAGCATGTTGACAGTTAATTCAGTCAAAAATATGGTCTGTAATAATTCACTAGAAGACTCACTTTCTCAGAGCATCTATGAAGAGTGAAGTTGTCATGTGTGCTTCTGAACAACATATTAAAAGAGCCTCGAAAGCAGAAGAATCCTTATAGTGTAGAATCAGGCCGTTCACCTCCTTCGAAACAGAATCCCATGCAGGCCCATCCCCTAACCTGTAACACTGCATTTCCTTCTGACTAACCTACTTAGCTTGCACATCTTTGAACACTGTGGGCAACTGAGCAGGGCCAATCAACCTAATCTGCACATCTTTGGTCTGTGGAAGGAAACCAGAGCATCATATGGAAACCCATGTAAACACAGCGAGAACATGAAAACTCCACAAAGACGGTTACTTAAGGGTGGAATCAAAACTATGTCCCTGGTACAAGAAGGCAGTGGTGCTAACCAGTGAGTCACAATGCTGTGGTATTGAAGTGTTGACTATGGAAGCAAACAATTTATGAGTAAGAGCAATCTCAGAAAAAATAGTGTTGCATTCAGCTTCTAAAGACCTTTCTACCATTCTATTTCTGTTTGACTTAAATCTACAAATCTTGGTTCCGTGTGCCCTCGTACCTGTGGATAATGAAAAATTATTGTTCTCACTTTTAAAATTATTATGTTAGCTGGCATCCATTATTCTTTTGATCATGGACAGAGGAGTGGGGAACAACAAGACATCTTCGATGTTTTGAAGAAAAAAATGTTTTTAAATTTTGTTCTGAATGGATTGATGTAATGTTTCTTTAATGTCCCTTCATCTTGAATTCTGGCACCAGCATCAAAATAAAAATTTTATCAATGTTATCAGTTCTTGCACAATATTAAAATTCACAATCAAACAAGTTTTTAATTGCAAGGGAGGAAAAGTCTTTTGTTAATGCACGCTCTCTTTGTAATTTAACCCTTAGAATTGTGCGAGTGGATGTGCCAACATATGCTTTCAATGGTACTCCATTCTCCAGGTGTGCTGTGAGTCTAAACTCTGTATATCCAATTTAGAATGATACAAACAAACACTTGATATCAAAGTATGTGTGTTAATCTGGGTAGGAGTTATACACACCCACTTGTGACTGAGTCATGAACACCTGCTTCATGGTCATGAACTCACATCAACATGGCATGAATCATATTGCTTTGAGAATTAGTTGTAACTCTAATTAGTGTCATATCTAGCACAGCTGACATGTGCAGATTTATAGTTGGGCCCCTCACATGAAGTGCTCAACAGGTTCATTCCAATTTCCTCTGATAATGAGGATAAATTGAAGAGAAATGAGTAACTCTGACATCTTTTTCACAGATACATCATAATTTAAGCAGAACATACTCTTGCACATTTCTATTCACAAATAAGTAACATTTTCAGAATATTTGGTATTTGACAATGAATCAATCCCTACCTGAACAGATGACACTAGCATCATTTCTATGTGTGCACTGATGGTTTCCCCAGGATGCAATCGAGCAGTCAGTCAAATGGAGTTCATTGCCAATGCAAACGTGGATATAATTCCATATAGGCCCATTTCCCTCTCCAAAGTATGCACCTCCTGGACTTGAGATCACAGCCCCACAACCAAGTTGATTGCAGACCACAGCTGCATCTTGTAAATCCCAATACGTATCACATACTGTGTTCCAGGTGTCTTCAAACATTATCTCCACTCTTCCTGAGCAGGTATCACTGCCACCAACTAACCGTGGTCTCCTTTGTCCTTTGTCGAAGAACAATGAACATTTTACAGTGGATTTACATTCATTTGGATAAACTTCTCTCTTATAAATTTAAAGTATAGACAAAAGGAATCATTCAAACAAGAAAACAAAAAGAGTGAAAATCTTTTGAAGGACCAAATCATGGTGACCCGAAATATTCTCATTTATCACACCAGTGAAACACTGCAGTGCCACAGTGAAAGAACAGGGGTTACTTTAGAAAAGCTGTTGTAACTCTTGTTGAAGTACATATAGCTTGTACTGTGTGAGAAGCTCAGAATTTGCTGAATGAATGAATTATAAGGTCTTATCTCTGAAAGCAAACCTAGCCTTGTCTGCATGTACCATTTGAATGAAATTTACTAATCAAGTAAAATTGAAATTTCTGTCAGGTTTATACAGATACAAACAAGTCATAATCAATTAGTTAATTAACTAGTTTTATCTCGTTGATGTAGCTTGACTAGAGCTGACTTTCTCTGCATCTGTTGTAGTGTAAATACATGGGTCTAAGTGCAACTTCCAAGGAATACCACAGCAATAATGTGTCAAGCTGAGAGATTGGTAAGTCAACACTTTTAATGAAGGGGAAGTGTAGAGGTGCTCTTTTCTTCTAACTTTCTCTTCCTTGATATTTGTTTCTTTTTTTTTCAAACAGAGAATGAAGCTGCTTGTCAAGTTATTCTAATCCTAAAGAAAACTTTGTAAAATTAAGGCTTTTTGGTCAAATTGAATATGCATCCTGCAGTATGTGCAAGTCATGAATGCATCATGTGTTCTAGACAACTACACGTGCAGGAAATATCAGCATCTGCAGAAGATATGGATCTGGTATCAGGAGTCAAGTAGTAGCCGCTGCCATTGTGATGCAACTGTTATGCAGAGATGGGAGATGGTTATGCTACAGATTTGGAATATGCATGCAATAAATTAATGGATTACCAATAGCAAGTCTATGAGAACTGCAGAAGTAGTGCAGGTTTATTCTACTGAACAAGTGCCACTTGCTAGCAGTTTTGCACTTGGATACTGATGAGGATGAAAATTATTCTGTAGAATACACAGAAACCAAGTCCCTGACTTTACAGTGGCTCAGCTGCAAAGGTGAGGAGAAGGAAGAGAAGAAAAGCCATGATGACAGTGTATTCATTAATAATGGGAAAACCAAGCATTTCTTTACCCATAAATTGACACCAGGATGATATGTTGCCTCAATGGTGTTAGGGGCAAAGGTGGCACAGAGTGACTGCTTTATTATTATTAAGGGGTATTATTCTAGGGGAACGTGAACAGTTGGGGGTTATGTTCAATTTTAGTACCAACAGCATTAGATAGGAAGAGAGATGAAGTCGAGGAAACAGGTTTTTGAGGAGCTAGGAAAGATAATTAACTGAAGAACTTCAAAAGCATTAATCTCAACAGAAGTTTAGGTGTCTCTGTCTATTAAAGGTGCTTATGGACAATTAAAGGCTTCAGATTCCAGTGGCATGGGGACAGTACTTCTATGGCAGATGTAATCTGTGTAACATTGGTGTTTTCCTCTTATAATAATCAGGGCTACTATCCTGGCAGTGACATTTTTTTTTTGCTGCTGTTGGCCAGTCTTTAAATTAACTTGTCTTTTGGATGGAATCCTGAGAGGAAGCTCACAATGAAGGGAAGAATAACTGATTGTTGGAAAAAGAAAATATTCAGCAATATTATTTGACAAACAATGTTAAAATGGCATTTATTAGAATCAGTTTGTGGAAAAATGTGAAAAGAGATTCTCTCTGAATACACAAAGCATTCTTGACAAGGTTAATGATTTGAAGCTGTGAATAAAGAGAACTGTATGATATAATGACATATGATTGCAGGCTGACTTAGACTGGGAACTGAATGCTCAAGGATGTTCATCATTTAGGAAGGATAAACAAAAAAAAGGAAGTGAAGTAGTACTTTTGATTAATACCAATTTCTTTGACTTTCCATTTTCAAAGTCCCCTACCATTTCTGAGAAACATTTCTGCATCATCCTCCATGAAGACAAGAACAACAGAATTGTTTTTAATCTGCACCAACTTCCTATTCTCTGTTCTTCTGTCTACATCAGTAAGGGAATACTTATTTGATAAGAAAGACAGAAAACAATGTTAGGATATTGCGCAGTGTTGATAACTAAATGATCCTTATTCATAAGTCACAAAAAAGGAAGTACGATATTCAGAAGGCAAATGGTATTTTGGATTTTATTGCAAGGGAATTTAATATATGACAAAAAATGTTTTGCTGCAATATTATAAAAACTTATAATTAGCACTCTGTGTTAATCTTTGATCTGCTTATCAAAGGAACAATACACAAGCCATAGAGGTAGTGCAAAAGGTACAATAAACTAATCATAAAGTCATGGAGTCATAGAATTATACAGAAAAATGGAACCTTCGGTCCAATTCATCCACATTGACCAGATGTCCTAAACTGATCTAGCTCCATTTGCCAGTATTTGATCCATATCTCTCAGAATCCTTCCTATTGATGTACCTATCCATACGCTTTTTAAATGTTATAATTGCACCCACATCCCCCACCTCCCCTGGGAGCTCATTCCATACGTGCCACCATCCTTTGCATGAAAAGTTGCCCCTCAGGTCCCTTCCTCGCTCACCTTAAACCTTTGCTGTCTCGTATTGAACTCTCCTTCCCTGGGATAAAGACCTTGGCTATTCACCAGATCCATCAAGGATTCTGGGTAATGCAAGATGGTGGACGGAAAAGAATTGTGACTGTAAGAGCTGCTCCATTTTTGAGGTATTTTCAGTGTTAGAACCGATTTCCTCGAATTCTAGTAGCAGTAATTACTGTTTTATAAGCTGTTGCAATGTTTTGGAACTTTGGGGAAAGAAAAGATCAAAACAATGGCACTTTATAAAGGCGGAAGACAGACAAATGCAGTGACCACATGGTGATCCAAATGGAGAAAGAATCCTACACTGCTGTCTGGCCCAGCAGTAAACCACGCAGCTGCTGATTTTGCTGTCTCTTTTCAAGTAACTCTGGACATTGGAGTTGGATCTCAGAAAAATAAACAAACAACAAAAATCACAGCTGACCTTGGAAAAACCTGTGTGTGTGAGCTCACACCAAGGGAGCAGCAAAGTGGCTTTTTAAACTGTAATCTTTCTGCTTTTCTTTTGTAAATCTACAATAGTTAAGAGCGTGGGCATTTTTGTTGATTATATGCTATAATTGAGATCTGTCTCTTGATGAAATATTAAAAATATAAAAACATAGATACTAAGCTAGCCTGGGGCAGTATTTTTAGAGTGGTAAGAATGTGCTATTTTCTTGGTCTATCGATTGTTAAGGTGCAAAGACGGCCTTTAGCAGAGAGTGATGTGCCCTTCCTGTTGGATGTAGGAGATTAGAGAGAGTTTCGATGTTACTGATGATTACGTCTGCAGGAAGTGTCTTTGGTTGTGAAAACTATCGGATTGCATGGATCAGTTGGAGCAGCAGTTGGAAGTGATGAGGAATTTACAGCATCTGGGGTGTGATGCATGGCAGTTGCAGGGAGGGAGATAAATGGAAGATACAGTCAGGAAGATGGGTGACCTCCAGGAAAGGTAGGAGAGGGAGGCAGGTAGTGCAGGAGTCCCTTGTGGCTATCCCCATCTCAAACAAGGATGCTGTTTTGGCAAATGTAGGGGGTGATGGAATCTCAGGGAAATGTAGCACTGACAGCCAGGTTTCTGGTACCAAGACTGGCTGTAATGTAATGCGGGGTATGCCAGTTTCCAAATGATCGATTATGATCAGGGACTCTCAAGTCACAGACACAGACAGATGATTCTGTGGCCGACAGTGAGACAACACAATGGTGTGTTGCCTCCCTGGAGCCAGGATGCCTTGGAGAGGATGCAGAATATTCTCAAAGGGGAGAGGGACCAGCAGGAAGTTGTTGTACACATTGGAACTAACAACAGAGGAAGAAAAAGAATGAGATTCTAAGCAGACAATATGGGAAGTTAGGCAGGAATTTAAAATATAGGTCCACAAGTGTAGTAATATCTGGATTACTCCCAGTGCCATGAGCTCGTGAGGGTAGGAATAGGAGCAAGCGAGCAGATGAATGCTTGGCTGAGGAGCTGGTGCAGGGGAGAAGGATTCAATTTTTTGGATCACTGGAATGTCTTCTGGGCTAGAAGTGAACTTTATAAGAAGGACGGATTGCACCTGAATTGGAAGAGGGCTAATAGAGTGGCAGCGAGATTTGCTAGAGTTGCTCGGGAGGATTTAAACTAGGAAGAGTGGGTGGGTTGGGACACAGGGAGATAGTGAGGAAGGAGATCAGTCTGAGACAGGTACAGCTGGGAAAAGGAATAAGTCAAAGCGACAGGGCAGGCAGGAACAAAGTAGAGAACAAGGCAGGAGTGATAAATTAAACTGCATTTATTTCAATGCAAGAGGCCTAACAGGTAAGTCAGATGAACTCAGGGCATGATTAGGAAAGTGGGACTGGGATATCATAGCACTTACAGAGTTGTGGCTCGGGATACGCAGAACTGGCAGCTTAGTGTTCCAGGGTATAGATGCTACAGGAAGGATCAAAAGGTGCTCAAGAGAAGAGGAGGAGTGGTGTTTTTGATTAGGGACAACATTACAGCTGTATTTAGGGAGGATATTCCTGGGAATACATCCAGGGAAGTTATTTGGATGGAACTGAGAAGTTCCAAAGGGATGATCACCTTGTTTGGATTGTACTGTATACACTCCAATACTCAGCGGAAAATTGAGAAAAATGTTTGTAAGGAAATCTCAGTTATCCGTAAGAATAATAGGGTGATTGTGGTAGGGGACTTTAATTTTCCAAACATAGACTGGGACTGCCATAGTGCTAAGGGCTTGGAAGGAGAGGAATTTGTTAACTGTGTACAAGAAAATTTTCTGATTCGGTATGTGCATGTTCCTACCAGAAAACATGCAAATGTTGACCTACTCTTGGGAAATGAGGCAGGGCAGAAACTGAGATGTTAGCTGGGGGAATGCATTTGACCAAAATTCTATTAGTTATAAAATGGTGATCGAAAAGAGTAGACCGGATCTAAAAGTTAAAATCTAATTTGGAGGAAGGCCAATTTTGATGGTATTAGCAAGAACTTTCAAAAGTTGATTGCCAGGGGAGGAGGTGGTGCGGTGGTGTTGGTGGAAGTTCAGGAGTAAAGGGATGGCTGGAAAATGGGAAGCCTTCAAAACTGAGATAACGAAAGTCCAGAGAAGTATGTTCCTTTTAGGATGAAGGAAAATGACTGGTAGGTGTCGGAAATGCTGGATGACTAGAGGATATGAAGATTTGGTTCAAAGATTAAGCAGGAAGCATGTGTCATATATAGACAGCAGAAGATGGAGTGATTCCCTTGAAGAGTATAAATGTAGTAGGGAAAGCAGGAGGTCATAAAGGGAACAAGGCAAATAGGGTTAAGAAGAATCCAAAAAGATTGTACAAATACATTAAGGACAAAAGAGTAACTAGGGAGAGAATAGGGTTACTTAAAGATCAGCAAGACCACCTATGTGTGGAGCCACAGGATATGGGGGAGAAACTGCATGACTATTTTTCATCAGTGTTTACTGTGGAGAAGATAGAAAACTTGGGGAAATAAATAGTGACATCTTGAAAACTGTCCATATTACAGAGGTGGTGGTGCTGGGCATCTTAAAATGCATAAAGGTAGATTAATCTCCGAGACCTGATTAGGTGCACCCTAGAACTCTGTGGGAAGCTAAGGAAGTGATTGCTGGGCCCCTTGCTCAGATATTTATATCACTGATTAGCCGCAGGCGAGGTGCCAGAAGACTGAAGGTTGGCTAATGTGGTGTCACTATTTTAAAAGTTGGTAAGAAAAAGTCAGGGAACTATAGACTGGTGAGTCTGACATCAGTGGTGGGCAGGTTGTTGGAGGGAATCCTGAGGGATCTGATTTAAATGTGTCTGGAAAGACAAGAACTGATTAGAGATACTCAACAAGGTTTTGTGCATGGGAAATCGTGTCTCATGAGCTTGGTTGAGGTTTTTGAAGAAGTAATAAAAAGGACTGATGAGGGCAGAGTGCCGGATGTGATATACATTGACTTCAATAAGGCATTCGTCAAGGTTCCTCGTGGTGGACTGTTTACCAAGGTTAGACCACACAGAACAGAGGGAGAACTAACTATTTGGATAAAGACCTGGCTCAAAGGTAGAAGACAGTGTGTGGTGGTGCAAGGTTGCTTTTTAGACTGGAGGCCTGTGACCAGCGGTGTGCCACAATTTCTGGGTCCACTGCTTTTTGTCATTTATATAAATGACTTGGATGTAAACATAGGAGGTATGGTTAGCAAGCTTGCAGAGGAGACCAAAATTGAGCTATAGTGGACTGCATAGAAGGTATTTCAGAGTATAAGGGAATTTTGACCAGATGGGCCAATGGGATGAGGAGTGGCAGATGGAGTTTAATTTATATGAGTGGAAGGAGCTGCATTTTCAAAAAGTAAATTGGGGCAGGACTTATACACTTAGTAGCAAAGTCCTGGTGAGTGATGCTAAACAAATAGACCACAGAGTTGAGGTTCATAGTTCCTTGAAAGTGGAGTTGCAGGTCGATAAGATAGCGAAGAAAGCGTTTGGTATGCTTTCCTTTATTGGGCATTTCATTGAGGATCATGTTACAGCTGTGCAGGACTTTAGTTAACTCACAATTGGAATATTGTGTTCAATTCTGGTCTTCCTGCTATACAAAGGATGTTATGAAGCTTGAAGGGGTTCAGAAAAGATTTACAAGGATGTTGCCAGGGTTATAGGGTTTGAGCTGTAGGGAGACACTGAAGAGATTGGGGCTATTTTCCCTGGAGCGTCTGAGGCTGAGTGGTGACATCATGGAGAATTATAAAATCATGAGGGACATGGATAGGGTAAATAGACAAGGTCTTTGCCCTGGGGTGGGGGAATCGAAAACTAGAGGACATACATTTATGGCAAGAGGGGAATGATTTGAAGGGACCTAAGAGGCAAATTTTTCATGCTGAGGATGGTGAGTGTATGGAATGAGCTGCCAGTGGAAATGGTGGAGGCTGGTACAATTACAACAATTAAAAAGCATTTGGATGGGTATATGAATAGGAACAGTTTAGAGGGATATGGGCCAAATGTTGGAAAATTAGACTAGATTTATTTAGGGTATCTGGTCAGCATGGATGAGTCAGATTAAAGGATCTGTTTCCATGTTGCATATCTCTATGACTCTATGCCCCTCATGATTTTATAAACCTCTTTAAGTTCACCCCTCCGCTTCTGACACTCCAGAGAAGATAGCTCCAGTCTATTCAGCCTCTCCCTATAGCGCAAACCCTTCAATCACATCAACATTCCTGTAAATATTTTCTGAACTCTTTCCAGTACAACTACATCCCTTCTATAGTTGGATTGTCTTATAAGGCAGATGTTGGGAAACTGTCCTTGTATTCTTTAGACTTTCAAAGAACGAGAGGTGATCTCTGATACTTTGACAACTGTGACAGCACAATACAGGGCCAATGTAGATATGGTGTTTGCCTGGCTGGTAAGTACTTGGTGACCACTCAGAAGTTCATGAATCATTGGAATTTTCTAACCCAGTGGGCTCTTGAAACTCAATAAATGAGGAGAGGAATGTGATACCACAATGTTATATCCAGTGACCGATATTGAAAAGGCAACTGCAATCTGGATCGGACACTAGGAGTCAACTATGTTTCCTGTATACATGGTTAAGATTTGGTAAAATAATGCTGCAAATCTATGACTAAAAATGGTCAGATTTTAAACTATCTTTCACTTGAAAGCAAGGATAAGAAAGAATGAAACACTTACCAGAACAAATAATACTGACGTCATGTCTATGCGTGCAGTTCTTTCGATTTGTTTGTGTAGTTGGGCAGGACCAGAGAATCGTCTCATTTCCCTGGCATTCATAGACATCCTGCCAGATGGGACCACTGCCCTCTCCAAATTGAGCTCCACTGAATACCGATATTACTTCTCCACATTTCAGTGACGCACACACAACACTGGCATCCAATGAATCCCAGTGTGAATCACACACAGTGCCCCAAGTCTCTCCTTTCTGGATTTCCAACCTTCCAGAGCATCTATCTGTTCCACCAACAAGTCTTGGCTGTTTGTGGTCTGTTGTTTTAAAACAATAAGGATTTTTTTTTACCAAAAGTGGTAAGTGAAGATCTCAGTAGTTAGTCATCTTGTGCCGAAAATGGTATAAGCGTTGTTACTTTCCATTGGGACCGTCTTACTGTGAAGCTGTTGTGACCATTTTTGTTAGATTACCCATCTGGTAATCTTCACCTGGGCATTAATATTTATGACTTACAGAACAAACTCGCTGGTGAGCAAGATTATTTTGTTTCCAAGTCTATTAGAATCCTTAATTTTAACATTTGACTGGCTTCCAAATCTAACATCATATTTTCTGCAAATTCTCTATTAAACTGCATTACAGCAAATTGTTAGAACTATACTTTTTGGAATGTAAAATGGAAAATTGAACTTTTGGACATTCCTTGGGGATTAGGTTGTTTACCATGGACTTTTGGAATTTAATCTGATAATAAAATGTAAAAAGATCACCCTTTCAGTGGAAAAACAATAGAGACATCAGGCACTCCAAGCAATGAATCATCAGAAGTAGTTGTAATTGAGTTATAGTTAAAACAGCTTAAGCATGTGAAATAAATGAGGTAGTTTGAGATGATGACAGAAGGGAAATTGGAACTGAATATAATGGAAAATGGGGTGAAAAGATTTGCTCTTAAGGGAAAAAAGAGAAACAGGATTTAAGAAACTGGAATAGAGACTCAGGAAGGAGCAAAAGACAAAAGACAGAGAACTGAAAACAGAAAAGATTGCACTTCAATATGAGGCTACCAACGCAGTGAAAGGTTCTGTTTAAGGTTTGCCTGAATTACAACAGTTATCTTGCAGATACAGCAAGTAATTAGGAAAACAATTAGATTGTTATTGTTTAGTGCTAGGGGAATTTTAGGGAAAAAATATGAAGGTTATGTTTCAACTATATTGTGCACATCCGAAAAACCTTTTCACTTATTTAAAGATGTAAATTCTTCTAAAACAATTTAGAGAAAACTCATTGGCCCAATATCTGAAATGATTGGGTTGTGTTATAAGGAAAATTTGCACATGCTAGACTTGTATTCACTGGAGTTTAGAAGAGTTAGAGGAAATTGACTGAACCTGTAAGATCACAGAGGTCTTCAGATGGTGGATTTGGAAAGGATATTTTCTGTTTACAATGTTTAACTATGACTCATTATTTTCGAACAAGGTGTCTACTATTTATGACAAAGATTAGAAGAACTTGTATTCTCGCAGAGAATTTTAAGGCCTTAGAAATAAAATATGAAAGCAGAGCCCTTGAATACATCAAAACAGCTGTAGATAGTATGATGGTGCCACGACTTTAAGAGGTGTATTTTGTCCTGGTTTTTTTTTTTAAAGAGAGGTTTTAAGGCAGAGACACTGAGCTGGCCAGTGCATAGCCATAAAGTAAACAGCTTGGGAGACATTGGGTTTTCTTTTAAAGTTGGAATGAGAGAAGGAGCCTGGATGGCTGTGGCCAGCACTCATAGACCAGGATTTCTGGTATTTAGTTTTTTAGCTTTGAGATTCAGAATCAGTTGCTATTGACATCTCAACATGGTTGGAAGCTGCAGGAAACGTCTCCTGGATGTGACCCTCTGAGTTTTTGCTTGATATTTCTCTCTCTCTGCTGCTGCTGGATTGCATGTGAGACAATTTGTTTCTGACTTTGCCTTTTTGCCAAGGCTTGTGCTTATGCCACATTAGTATATTGGAACAGTTAATTAGTAATAGTTACTGTATCTATTCTAAGTTTTCAAATACAGTTATCCGATGTTCTTTCTTTAGTTGTATTTTAACTATAGTGTATGAATAAATTGTGTTCAGCTTAACGTCAAGTAGTTTGACCAGTTGAATTGCATCTGGCACACAGCACTATATTTGCCTTTAAAATAAGATAAAGTTATGGTCTAGGCTACCTTCTGACATATTCTGATGGGGTCTGTCTAGTCCATAACAATGGCCATTTGATAAGCAGAGGGTTGAAAGAATAACAGGGTAAGTGGAAATGTGAAATAATCAGGTCAATCATGGTCTTACTGAAAGGAGGAGCAAGTTTGAGGAACAAAGTGACCTTTTCCTACTCCAAGTTTCTCCATTCATATGCTTGTACGTACTGTATATGTATAGAAAATCATAACTACAATGGCATTTTTCCATAATATGCAATTAGAAAAACATGCCCTCTGCAATTGTTAGGACATGATTTTTAGATATTCATTTTCCAAACATTTAGCTGCATACAATAACAATAGGGGAAATGGATAGGTTATCTCATTTGGCTTCAAAACTAGTATGCCATTCAGAATGAGACCAACAGCATGAATTGTGTTCTTGTTCCCGATGGGTAGACTTTAGAACTGTCCTCTGCTTCTCAGAATGCAAGGCAATTACAAACTACCAATGACAAAATAAAATTTCAAGAAACGGTGATGAATGCAGATTCAGTATTCCATGAGCAATGGATCTGCCTTGGACAAGAGCAAGCGTGACATATTTGGAATGGCATTATATCATGACCAAGTTGGAGATGATTATGCAAGTCAGTGGTTAATCATGCCCGAGCAATGTGCAACTGTAAATACTTGGGTTGAACTTTGTATGCATAATTTCTAGTTGCTGTGCTATACTTACTGCTATTTAATGGAAACATAATTTGCTCTGTTGTTCAGTCTCCACATGTTTCTGCAGAAATATTCTGACTGAAATTTCTTGTGGCTTGTAAGTATTTTAAAATTAGTTTTTCTGCTGGCTTTTACTGTCAAGATAGTGGCAGTATCTGCTCTTTGAGAGTTTTTATTAGTGAAAGACTGTCCCTCTTGGTCATGTTCCAATTGAAGGACTGCAGGTTCAAGTTCTGTGTGAAAGGCAATGTGCACAATTTGCCCGTCTGTAACACGTTAACAATAGTTATATTTTATTTGCAAACATGGACCCTTCAATCTGACTGAGATGACTTTTATTATTTTACAATGTAAGTTTTCATTTAATTTGTGTCAAGGAGTGATATTGCCTCCCACATGTTTTTTAGTGTTTAAGACAAGAGAGTTACCTGAACAAATGACACCAGCTCCTTCCGTTTCTCTGGAACAATTACTGTGAGCCAGCTGTTTCAATTCACACTTCCAGGGATCTTCCTCACTGCCATTGCAGCCAACTTCATAGTTAAGCATAAGCCAAATGCCACTTCCAAACTGAGAGTTCCCTGATGCTGATACAGCGTCACCACACCCCAGGTATTTACACACAACACGAGCATCATTCATATCCCACGTTCGACCACAGATGATAATCCATGTACCAAAATTGCGAGCTTGAACTCTCCCAGCACATGGGCTACCTCCATCCTCCAGAATCACATTTTGCTCCACTGCCAGATGAGAAAATGCAGTTTCAGTTCAATAATATTAACTCTGATGTACCAAAGTTGGACATGTTGGCCGAAAAAAAAAAGAGCTCTGATGTTTCTTTTTTCTGGGATGTACTCAATCATTTGAAGTTTGTCAATAGCACCATTAATTGCTTGCCAATATTTTGTTCCAACTTATCTATATTAAGTCTGCTCTTATTATCCCACAGGAGATTTTTTTCTCTTACTCTGGACTGACCCATGTAGTTTTCAAAAAGCAGCATAAAAGTTAAGATAGAAAAATCATTGAATCCTGTTAATTCCAGTGCTTTATTATTTTGGCCCATCACATTTTCAAGATCCAAGTCCAGGAATGCCTCCTTTCCAGGTGAACTGAAGGCATTATCCTGTGGAAAATTCAACTGAATACACTCTATGAACTCTTTCACTTCTTTAGCCGTGAGACTATGACTATCACAAGTAATTGGTTAACTGAAGTGCTCCCTCCCATTATATCCCTCTAAAATTCTTGCCCTTCTCAAAAACTTCCATGCCAATATTTTTCTTCACATGTTTACAAGTTGGTGATCTGGAGACTGCAGCAAACATTTTTTCCTTTGCTCTAGACAATATGATCTAGCTCTTGATCATGGTACTACCACCACACCGGCATCCTGTGAACAACACCAGGAATGTTATTTTTTTTTCCCAGTACTGCGCTGTCCGAATAATAAATTCTGCCAGCTTTCCTTTTATCCCCACTAGCTTTCTTTCCGGGAAACTGAGAGGAATGTAAGGACTGTCTCATTGCTTTCATTTTTCTGTATTTTTGTGGTCTCAATGGGAAAAGGAAGTTTTAAAAACAAGGATTGTGAAAGGAATTTCTGAACTTTGAAAAAAACAAGTTACTGAAGCAGATTGCGTCGTATTTGTACTACTCTTTGTTCGGCAGTACAAGAGGCTGTTTGGAGAAGGACCAACGCCAGATGTTGTGTGAAAATCTTTCATTCGTATTCTTCTGTCCCTGACCACAGAAAAAAAACATGATGTAACCAGTCAAACGGGTGTTCCTTCAGGTTGAACCACACTATCCAAGAGCAATTCCAGCTCCCTGAGGCATCATAATATCGGAAGATGGGATTCCAGCTTGTTAGCTGAAGTTAAGATACATTTATTAAGACTGATTGCCTGAATGAGATCATTAGAAATCTTGTGGCACCAATTTTGATGTTTGGATGCAGTTTCTTGCAGATGACCTGCAGCAGTTAAAGTAAGGTCAAAAGTCACACGATACCAGGTTATCGTCCAAAAGGTTTATTTGAAATCACAAGCTTTCGAAGCGCTGCCCCTTCATCAGGTGAAGGGGTTCCATTGGGTTATGGTAAATCAGGACCTGTCTTTTTGCCCTTGTGGAGGTTGAGACGCGGTGGGTCAGCCTTGCGGCTGAGTCGAGAACGGAAGGAGATAAAGAAATGTTGCCTTCGTCAATGACTGTCGTCTCTTGAAAGAGCGAATTTTTTTTTATATAAAGTCCTAATTGGATATCTAGCCCCGCTTGCTCAACGACCAGTTCTTGATGACCTGGAATCGATTGTCTTTACCCCAATTCCCCAGCGTCCCATAAGAACATAGAACCCGTTCATTTCTATTTCCGGTATCTGTTGAATAGTTTATATTGGCGTTTAATTTGTCACCATTTAAAACTGAGCATTGTACATCTTTGCCATTTCACTTTAAGAGTTTCAGCCGGGTTTAGTGTATTGGAGGACCTCGTAGATTCCTTGCTAAATGTAGAGGTGGCTGACAGCTTTGAGAAAAAAAAAGCGATCTGGGGCCCGCTTTCCGAAGCGGTAAACGCATCAACTCTTCATATAGCACAGGTCGATTTAGCCGGCGTCGGCAAATTTTGATTCGTGACACTACAAGCAATAAACATTGTACGTAAATTCAAGCCTCTTGAAGCGGCTCTTTTTCAATCTTTGTAGGGTATAATTTGCAACGTCCTCGATACATGTGTGTTGCATTGCCAGTTATTCAGTTATTGTATCGCTATTAGTTGTAAAAGTTTAAAAAGGAACAGAATGAGACGTATAAGCAAAGAGACACATCCGCCACCATTGGTATGAACCCAACATCCTGTCACTAAAGCGGCATTCCTGGCAGTGCTACCTTCAAGAGTTCAGCAAGAGTTGGACGATTAGAAGACAATTAAAGTTTGATGAAGGGACAGAACATTGGACAGGGGAAGCCTCACCCCAACCCTATCGCTGGGAAACGAATCTTTGCCCGAACTCCCCATTGTCCACCCTTTTCTTCCCGCAACTGCTACTATATAGATGAAAGCTCACAGATACATGGAAGCATCACCAACCACAAGTCCACCTCCAACGAACGCACTGCAGTGAACTATAAATATATCGCACTATCTTCACAGTCATGGGTTAAAATTCTGAAACTTCCCTCTTTACAACTTGTTTAAGTTACATAACAACAATTCCCCAACCACATGCACTGGAGCTGTTCAAAAATGTAACTCAACATCACTCACGCAACGCAACTGGGGATGGGTAATAAGTGCCGGCTTTGTTAGACGAACTTTCTGAGAGAAGACTCATAAATTCCATGTGGCTTCCTGCTAAAACTGCCTGTTGTACCCCCGCCTAGACTGAAAGAGGGAGCGCTGATCTCTCGGCTCGCCAGTCGGCTGCTGAGACACCAGTCGCATCCACAAGATTCCTCTCAAAGTTAAAGATTTCCCCACATCTTCCTGACTAATTCCCATATAAGTTAATAAAGTATGCGGACAGAAATATTCAACATCAATGAGCAATTCATAAATACCTTTGCAGAAGATAACTACACTCATTCCAGTTTCGCACGTCTGCTGGCCGGAAGGACTGAGTGTACACTCGGACAATGAAGATTCTGTTCCTTTACACTGAATCTTATCCAGTAACACAGGTCCTGTTTCTTGTGGAATGGAATTTGCAGATGTTGTGTGATAAGAATCGCAGCCAATTTGCTTGCAGACAACCTGTCCAGCAGCTGAATCCCATCGACTACTACAAACGGAGTTCCACTGACCTCGGTGATAAACCTCCAAATTTCCAACACATGGTGCATACGGGCCCACCAACCTGGGGGTTCTGAGCTCTGTTAAAAGTCAAAGGGAAGATGCATTAATTTTGCAAAACGCTCCCAAAATTGAACGGAAAGTAAGGGCCCTGGAATAATTCTATGCCACTTTATAATTTAACACAATAATTGCACTGATTCATCCGAGTCGTTTTGTTCAGTTGTTTGGGCGGCTGGTTTGCGATGCAGAGTGATGGTGCAGTTTGATTCCTGCATTGGCTAAGGTTACCGTGAAGAATTCTCCTTTTCAATCTCACCCCTCACCTGACACGTGGTGACGCTCAGGTTAAACCGCTACTAGCCATCTCACTCCATTTAGACAGAAGTTCAATGGTCCATGGCGACTTGACCTCTATACTGATTCACCAGATTATTAAGGTTGTTTTGTGCATTAATGTTTTTTTGTTTCAAAATGCTGCTATGCTCAGATTTTGGTTCAACCACTCTCAGTGATTCGTTAACAAATCCCATTACGTTTTTGTCATGGGCAGAATTACTGAAACAACGTTTCTTTTTCGCCATCTGAAATGACGTAACATGCAACACTACGGATCCAGTGCTTAATGGGATTAGAATCAATGGATGTTTGATAAGAGGTACATGATGGGCCGAATGGCCTCTTTCCCTGCTGTAAAATCTCAAAGAGTGGATACTAGGGGCGTCAAGTGCTCAATCTCGACCACGGTCACTTTGAAAGGCAAGAGAAGTAATTGTGTACAGTTTGGTGAACATTTATGGTCATCAGTTTAATGGCTGAAGGATTGGAAACAATTCTTAACATGAATCTTAGTATAATTGACAATATTTAATAATTATTGCAAATCCAGGATGTTTCCTGTGCTGCAGTGTTTTAGCTATGAAAGAGACTAGGTGGGCTGGGGTTATTTTCTTTACAACAGTAAGGGTTGGGTGGTCATCCCATTGATGCCTACAAAGTTACAAACGACACAAAGGCAGATGGGAATATTTTTATCCCTTCTTCGAGAACATAGATCTAAGGTGGATCAGGGTGTAATTATGGAAAATATTTTTCACGCACAGGGTGGTGGGTAAAAATGATGTTGGATGCTGGAATCATTACGTTATTTGAAATATACCTTCATGAACACTTGAAATGCCGTGCAAGTCTACGGGCGAAGAGCTGAGAAAAAAGATTTGAGAAGATTGGTGCTTGATGACTGAACGGCGACAATGGGCTGAAGGGCCTCTTTCTGTGCTTTAACACTATAAGACATTAAGACTTTAGTATAATACTTTGAAATGAATGTTGTGACAAAAAAATGTTGACCGATTTGAGGCCACTTTTAACGATTGTAATGTAGATCAAAGTTCATGCTTGATTACACTCAAGATGCCTGAGAGATCATGAATACATTGACAGGACATATTTTCCTCGAGGGTTGTGAATGATTTTTTGAGCCTCTTATAAAAGGCTACGCTGTTAGATTGCAAGATATACCCAGGCAATGTTTGCCATTGCTCCCCACTTTATTTGCATAACAAAGCTATTGATACATCGCTCAAGTCACGGCAATGAGTTCTGTTGACGTTTATCCAAGGAGCCCAAGGAGTTCTAGCTGTTGGTTACTTTGGACTTCATACACCAAACAAAACATGATCCAACTTCATAAAACTTTAGAGTGCATTTTCTTCCACTATGCAGTTTATATGTGACTATCTGCATATAGAAAAAAAAAAGTTGTTATTTTATGAGGCTAAAATGCACTTAGTTTCTTCAAGCTTCCACTCCACCATTTTCATGTTCAAGAGACCAAAGGCTGGCTCGGCAATAAATTATGTCCTTCATTACATTATTTCATATTATTTCAATAAGGTTGTCATACCAAAACTGGGCATTGTCATCAAGGCCTCGTCTTAATCATGGCTCATAATTAATGGGTAACATGCCTATCCCACCCAAGAGAAGTGTAACGCACATTCTGTAAAGTATTGTCGTATGTTGTAAAAATCCAAGATATTGTGAACTTAAGCTGCTACCTAAAAATTTCTCCAAACTGCTCATCCTGCGTATTTGTATCAGGAGACAAAAATATTTAATGGGGACGATATCATTCAGAAACAGTGTAATCACTCTGGTTCTATTTATTATTTGGTGAGTAATTTCCATTTATTTTAAATGTTTAAATACGTATGACAGCAAATATAAATGCCCAGAGTGAATGGCTGTGTGTTTGTTTACAGAATGAGATGAGTGGCTATATCTTTTAAGCCACTTTTTTTAATTTCAATTCAAGTGGTTAGATTTATCCCTTTTAAATGTAACACTGTTGGATTTAGCTCTAAATGTGGAAACTCTTTACCTTTTTCATTCACAATTTCAACTGATGCATTTTCGCTGGAAAGTTGAATTGTTAAGGCTGAAATGCAAAAGTGGTTTTGTTTGTTAATATTCGCAATTGTAGTTTCGTAGCATTCAATGTTTGAACATGAACACTTGAAAATCAAAGGAGTGCTACTGAAAGTTCATAGAACTATAGAATGTTACCAGGAAACAGAATATTCCGTACTGTAAGATCTTTCAAAGAGCAGTTTAGGTTGTCTTTTCCCAATTAGTCCGAAAGTCAGTCACACTTCTCCTAATCTCCCACCATGATATAAGTGGAACAAATATGAGTAAAAGTATAAATGACTGAAAATATACTTTTGGATTCTTTGGGACCTCACTAATTAACCGAATTGCATCCAGAGGACCAGGAACCCCAAAATTCCAGGGGCTTAGTAAATGATGATGTCCCCAACACATTCTTTGCGAAACATTACATTGTTGGACGAGATCGTAAAGTAGCCACATATTTACTTTCAATAACCGTAACTGATGTTTTATTCTAGCACCTAAATTAATTTTGCCTTTCAATTTAAACAAATCTGCATATTATACTTAAATCACCGTGATAACCTGGACCAGTCATTGCATTTTATAAATACTGATAAAACAAATAAAACTTCTAAGTCCTAGGGACATTTAGAAACTGCAGGAGCTGCTTAAATAAGAAAATAAGAAAACAAAGAAGGCTGGCTGCAAAACAAAACAATAACAGCTGGAGAAGCTCGTCATCTGGGGAGAGAGAAATAAAATTAACATTCCAAGGATTAAGGAAGAACTTTCTCTGCGACAGGGCAGTGGGCGTCTGGAACTCACTACCTGAAGGAAAGGCAGAAGCAGGAACCATCACAGTGTGTAAGAACTCTTTAGATGAACACTTGAAACGTCACAGAATAGAAGGCTACGGTTCAAGTGCTGGAAAAATGGGACGAGAGTATTTAGGTGCTTGGTAACCGATGCTCGTAAAGGCCTCTTTCCGTGCAGTAAAACTGTATGCCTATTTCTTTAAAATACTGACAAAGATGATGTGATTAGATTCTTCCGGTATATCTATTCTGAATTTCGTGCGCTAGTGTAGCGAGTTGGCTTACAATCTCTCAATTTTATTATCCATCGACTTCAAAATTACCTCGATAATTATTCCACTAAATTTTCAGTAAAATATTTTGTTGATCGCTAGCGTTTTGCTATCCATTCTGTACCCACGCAAAGGATAGCAGCAGCTCCCTGCAATGGTATCATCATCCCCACATTAAGTATATTCCGAGCTGGAACATTGTGAGAATTAAGAACGTAAAGAACTGCTGATGCTGTAAATCAGAAACAAAAACTGAAATTGCTGGAAAATCTCAGCAGGTCTGACAACATCTGTGCAGAGAAATCAGAGTTAACGTTTCGGGTCCGGTGACCCTACCTTAGAACTCCCAGTGTCTTTACTGGAGGAGTTTCAGACGTAGTATTTTAGTTTCTCGTATAGATTCCAAAATATCCTTTAAATCTAAAGCGCAGGAGAAAATCATTGAAGCGTTAAATCGGCGGCAGCTCCTTTGAAGAGCATTTAGTTCATCAGTGTATCTGTCTCTATCGGCCACTTCTCACAGTATTCTCCTTCAAGTACTCACCTCAAGTACATTTAAAACTGCCATTCAGCTCGTGTTATGAGAAAACGTCACCGGACCCGAAACGTTAACTCTGATTTCTCTTACAGATGCTGGCAAACCTGCTGAGCATTTTCCAGCAATTTAAGTTTTTGTTTGAGAGAATTAAGCCTTTTTATATTTGCAGTCGACGGGACAATGTTCAAACACTGCCATAGACTTTCTGGCTTAGCGGAGGAAATTTCAACTTTTGTGATAGGTTGAAAAAACGCATGATCATGAATCAGGAGCGGCTTTAAAAGCCTTTTCCTTTATCTACCCAAAATCAACTGGACGGAAAAATGAGCGGAGATCCAGTCTAATTGGTTCCAACCACTCCGACTGCGCGCAGCAACAAATTTCATAGCGACCCTAATTCTGATTCACTAGCAACTGTGCAGTTTAACATTTTGGTAACAGCCATAGTATATATTCCTTTTTTTAATTAACCTCTTCAAATATGTTATTACACACCAGCAGATTTGTGGGACAACCGCACCTCATGGCCCAGAGAGATGGCAATTACCAAGAGGCCACTTGAGACCGAAATTCTACGTTTGAAGTCCCTCCACCGCACTTAGTAAAGCGGGTGCATCACTTTCTCATTCTCTCGTTCTCCATAAATTATGTTCCACTTCACAACTGATTGTTTCATCGTGGCTCGCCTCTTTAAGTCTTTCATTCTCGCACCCAATGTGGGTATTATTACCGGAGTGTGAACTCCCTGGTCAAAAAAATGGGCTGCGTGAACATCACGTTTGTAAAGATCTGATGACTGCAGGTATTTACTTCACTGCTGGAAATTGTGATCATTCGTGTTTAACTGAATTACGCCTGATTATTGAAATTTCCAATCTGATCTATCATTTAGCGTTGGTTTTCGACTCTGAGCTCTCATAATCAGCGTACGTTTGTTTATTTTTGATGAACACTTCCTCCATTTGCTGAGATTTGGGAATGAATTTCCAACAATTCATTACAGTACTTCATCATCCTGTCACCCAATACCACTCAGTCGTACGGGGTTCCCTCTCTCTTTATTGGAGAATTTCAGACGTGATATTTTAGTTTCTAGTATAGATTCCAAATATCCTTTAATGCTGAAGCGCAAGAGAAAGCCGCTAATGCGTTAAATCTGCGGTGGCTCCTTTGAAAAGCATTCAGTTCATCCCAGTGTCTCCACTGGCCACATCTAGCAGTATTGTCCTTCAAGTACTCACCTCAAGCTCATCTAAAACTGCCATTCAGCTTGTATTTGTCACGCTATCAAGCGGCGTTGTCAAAGTCCCAAATGGAAACAGAATTCGAAAGAATTTGTAAAATTTCCAGTTCCCCGTGCGAGAACCGATCAGGAATTTGTCGTCTAAGAGGTTCAAGTTGCGATTTATGTTCAATTCGAAACTTGAATAATTTGTTACGAGTACTGCAATTGCAACATTTCAGTATATCACGTTAAATTCCATCAAAGACATATTTTAAAATATCTTTGAGGAAACGTATGCCATTGAAATGGTATAGGGCGCAGTGCGAATCCTGAGAAATCGTATTTTTAGGTTCAGTGAGGGCATGTTAGCTGGAGGTCGTTACAAACCCGCCTTCAATCGAGTTATTTCTCAGTCTCTTGCGAAACAGTTTTAAATGTAATGCTTCCTTCAGTGCTCACTTGAACTGAGAGCAACAAGAATCCTTTTACCTGTTCAGAAGTAGCCTCTAACTGACTTGCGATAAGAGCCCGAGATTTCGTTAAAGGGGCAATTTGTATGAAAATCGATTGCCCAATTAACATATCAGCGAACTATCACAATTAGTAATGGGATCAAAACTAACAAGGAGAAGGCAGGGGATTGGGGTTGAGAAACTATCAGTCTTGATCTATTGGCGCAGCAGACTCGATGGGCCGTGTATCTGCTCCTATATCTTATGGTCGTATGGTCTTATGGAGTGAAAAGCAACTTTCCAAACTTCACTACGACAAAGTAATGAAGCTGTTGTTGTCCAGAGATTCTTTGTTCCAGAAAATAAATTTTATTTACCCAAACTGACAAGAATCACATCAGTGATAACACAGTGTGGAACTGGAGGTACACAGCATCAGAGGAGCAGGAAAGCTGACGTTTCGGGTTGGGGCCCTTCTTCAGAAAATTATATTTTCGTCTTGCTACCAAAGTGCCTAACATCACACTTTCCCACATTGTATGCCATCTGGCCTTCTTTTCCCACTGACCTACCCCGTCCAAGCCTCCCGCTTCCTCAACCTAATCAGTCGCTAAGCCTATCGTCCAGATCGTTCATGTACAACGTGAATAGTGTGGTACCAACACAGACCCTTGTTGAACTCCCCTCGTCACAGCTGCCATCTGAAAAAAAAGACCCCTTCATCCTTACTCTCTGCCATCTTCCAGTCAGCGAATGCTTTGTCCGTGCCAGTACTTTGCCTCTAACACCGACCAAAATTCAACCTAATTGGTTTATCCACCTTGGCTGCAAATAATGTATGAGGTCACTTTAAAAAGGCAAACTACTGAATCCGAGAAAGAGTGAAATTATTCTTGAGCAATATATAGCCAGTCTGAAAATATTGAATTTGCAGCCCGGGTTGGATTCTGTCCAATATTCTTTTGATGTTTGATGGGTCACAATTTGATATCACCAGTTCCGTCCTTGCTGGAAAATTCGCGCCTGTAGGATCTTGTCTCCCACCTCACTGCTGCGCCGGCTCCCAAAAAAGCCACGTCGATACGTTTTAATATCATTTCCATAAATTTCAGTCACGCTTGAACAAATGGAATATCGGAAAAAAAAACTGCTACAACTGCAAAAAAGTGTAAAAGACCATAACTGAAGAAACGACATCACTAGGATATTATTTAATCATCCCGCGTGAGTAATGGTTTCTGCAGGGACTAGTATTGTTCTGGTATTTTATTTCTCAGAAAATAACTAACCACAACGTAACTAACCACCACTAACCCCAGATCCATTGGACGCCTTGACCGTTTAACCAGAATCGTTTAAAGGCGGGTGAAGGCATACCCTCGCTAATCCAAGAAGACAGAGGAAAGATAAGCACAATTGGTTAATGCAAATCTGGAGCAACGTGAAAGAAGATCCTATGGATGTTCTGGTAAAATGATGTGTGAAATTAGATTTTGGTTGTTACAGCGCCTTGTTCCAAAATATTGTCAAGTATTGCTGATCTTATACTGCCAGAACCGATACAATTTTCGGGAAATATGACTGTCGTGGGGGTCACAATTTTCACAGAAATTGCAGACAGTGTTGAAACGCTGTCGATATCACCAGGTCTCAAAGTGAACTTTACACAATTGTCCCGGAATCGTAAAGGACAGTGAGAAATAGTTGCCAGAAACTCGCAGGAGACAATACTAATTAAAAAGTTCCCAACGGAAACCGCCAAAGCTTTGACTTAAATTTCTCAACCTTATCGTCCTGTTTAAAGCTTCATTTTCTGGATCGAACCGATAAGAAGAGAAAATTAACGCTACGCCGAGTCTAACTCCCACTGAGTTCGGATTTCTCTGATTGCAAAGTTTCTTGTCTGTTATTGGCAGAATTTCCAAATTGAAATTTCATTAATCTCGGTATTCGAGCATCATTCCAAATAAATAGCTATAAATAGTTGCAATATATTTGTCAGTTATCCTCGCTAACCTGTAATAATAACTGAAAGATCCAAATCGAAATCATAAAGTTACAGTCACAATTGCCGAAGAGTACAATATGCTAAATTGTTGTTTTGAATATAGTTCATCCTGTTCATTTGTGAATTATCATTGAAATCAAAACCTACAATAATCGGTGGATTTAAGCCACTGGATAGTATCTTAACCTATAATGAATTATTAAGAAATATGGTTAGTTAACTGAGATGGCAGAATTCTGTTCAGCAGAAATTTGTGTTTAGTTAAGACAATGGTTGCAGTCCGTTTTAACTGGTATCGGCTTAATTCCATATCAGCTATAGAGTTTCTTGAATCCTTTGGTATGATCAGCGTACAGAACATGAAACCAGCCAAAGCCTCTTAGTGCGGCAAGATATATTTTAAGACGAGAATTGACATCTCCCTATACCTCTCTTTGAAGTGATCACCATTATTTGAAATTCCAATGTTTGAAAATAAAACATGAAATTTTTTAAAGAAAATGAGCATTATTTTTATAAATGGCCATGGATTGGAACGTAGCAAAAGACATTTTTCAGCGTTTGGATAAGTGTTGTAGTGATCTACTTACCCATTGAAACGAGCCGAATCAAAACAAACATGCCCAAGCGATGCATTTCACGGCGACTCTATTCCAGTGATATGAAGGAGAATCCGATCAATGACATACGATGAAATCGTGCATTAGAAAATTGAATGGTTCGAGTTATTCAGCGGAAATTGACTCTGAAATCCACATCTGCCAGTAATATCTCTCTTTTACTAGCCTATAGAATTAGAACCGATGGACCAATAACAGATGTAATTGCCAATTAAGGCAAAACCGTAGTGATGTCGTTGGGGGAGGGCGTTCTGTGACCTCGAAATGGCCCATTAACTTCATGATTAGGGTTCAAATTCACAAAACGTGAGAATTGGATTTAATTACGTTCAAATTCATTCACACCTTCTGCAGATTTCTTGGGTTTGTATGCAGTTATAAGTATTGTGTACAGTATATAGTTATATTCTGAACAGAAACAGCCAGCTGCTCTACAGTATGACGAAGGATAACCAGCGAAAGGCATAGCAACATGCTGATGATGTATAATGCGTTCCAATCCACTGAACTATAAAGTGCAATTTATTATGAGGTCATAAATCGATAGAAAAATAGACAGATAGATGGCTGGATTGATGCTTAGATAGATGGATGGACAGGGAGAAATTGTGCTGTCAGTTTTGTTTTATTTATCCGTGGGATGTGGGCGTCACCGACTGGGAAGTATTTGTTGCCTGTCCCTACTTGTAATTGACAAATAGCGGCGAATTGTATTCATGAAACGTTAGAGTCCGTGTGCTGTAGGTTGACCCATAATGCCTTTAGGGAGCGAATTCCAGGATTTTGAACCAATGGCACTGAAGGGAGAGCGATATGTTTACAAGTCCGAATGGTGAGTGGCTTGGAGAGGACTTTGAAAGTGATGGTGTTCCCGTGTATCTGCTGGACTCCATATTGAGTTCAATAATTTTAGGGCCTAAACTCTCCCATGTCCCAGCCCTCTACCCAACATACCAGGCCTTGTTACCACATAGCCTGCCATTACACACCCCCTGTTGTTAGTCACTAACACTCCCCATTAACAACTATTCACCCTCCCAGCCTGATCGTTAGCAACTCCTTTGTCTGTCCAACTGGCCTTCTCTCTCTTTGGGCCCTATCCTATCGTTTACTCCCTATTTTCTGAATATAAACTGACGTTTTCCCAGCCACCATCAGTTCTGAGGAAGGGTCACCAGACCCGAAACATTAACTCTGATTTTTCCTTCACAGATGCTGCCAGACCTGCTCAGCCTCTCCAGCAATTTTGTTTTTGTTCCTGATTTATGGCATCCACAGTTCTTTCGGTTTTTATCTGACCTTATGATGCAGAGAAGGTCATTGACAAAGCAGCTGAAGATAATTGTGCATAGGACATGACCCTAAGGAATTCATGCTTTGATATTCTGGAGCTGTGATATTTGATCTCTAACAACCACGACCATCTTCCTATGTATGAGGTAGGACTCCAACCAGTGGAGAGTTATCCTCCTGATATCCATTGATTCTAGATTTGCTCGAGCTCCTTGTTGACATACTTCGTCAAATGCAACCTTGATGTCAAGGGCTGTGACTCTCATTTCACACGTGGAATCCATCTTTTTGTTAATGATTGAAGGAAGTCTGTAAAAAGGTCAGGAGCTGAGTTGCCCTGCTGGGACTCAAACTGGGCATCACTGAGCAGATTATTATTGAGCAGGTGCTGCTTTACAGCACTGTTGACGACATCTGTCACTTTACTGATGATTGAGAGTAGATTGATGGGCCAGTAATTGGCCTGATTGCATTTGGCCTGCTTTATGTCCAGGGTATGCCTTGGCAATTTTCCAAAGTGTCAAGTAGATGCCAGCATTGTAGCTGTAGTGGAAGAGCTTGGGAGGGGAGCAGAAAGTTCTGGAGCAAAAGTCTTCTGTACTATTGTTGGAATGCTGTCAGGATCCATAGCTTTTTGCAGCATCCAGTGCCTCAAAAAATTTCTTGATATCATGTGGAATGAATAGAATTGGATAAAGACTGGAGACCACTAGAGAAGGCAGAGATAGATCATCCACTCAACATTTCTGGCTGAAGATTTCTAGCAGTGCTTCATCCTTGTCTTTTGCACTGATGCATTGGGATCTTCTATCATTGAGAATATGGATATTTGTGGAGGTTCCTCCTCCAGTGAGTTGCTTAATTGTCCACCACCATTCACGACTGGATGTAATAGAACAACAGAGCTTCAATCTGATCTGTTGGTTGTGGGTTCACTTAGCTCGGCCTAGTGCTTGCTGCTTGTGCTGGTTGGCATTCAAGTTGTTCTGTTTGGTCACTTTACCAGGATGACAATTAATTTTTAGGTATGCATGGTGCTGCTCTTGGCATTCCCTCCTGCACACTCCATTAAACCAGGTTGTTCCCCTGACTGAACAATAATTGTTTCCAGAAAATGAAAGGAAGAGACAGAGCATCTGAACATCAGGTTGCACCAAGGAGTCATGCTAGTGTCACTTTTTTAGCAAAGGAGGAGGGCAGTGCTGCAGGTGAGAAATGATGTTGACACTGATGATCAAAACATAGAATGAGTGTGAGAGAAATCAGAAATGGCAAGTGTCATGACGGATACCAAAAATGGAACTTCCAAACCAGATCATTCTGTCTTGACTTAACATTGCAATGAGCAATTGCTGGAGAGGGGAAAAGTATGTGAGAACAAGTTGTCTTTGCCCAGGCATGACAATAGGCTACTTTGCAGTGACCCCGGACTTGGTTTTGAACAAGCACAGAGGAAAGATTGGGACAAGTATACAGAAGGGGAAATTCAGCATGTAACATCAAATCAGCATACTGTTGATGTTGGGGACTATGCGCAGTTCATTGGACTTCAACAGTGGACTGGGTTCACCACTGTTGCTGTGGAAATTGAAATTGAACTCTCCACTGCCAACTTTTATTGAGGGGTCCCCAACAGGCAAAAGGATGTCAGCCTCACTTCTTTGAATACATCAAAATTGTTTAAGCTGGTAATTAGTTCCAATAAACTAATAATTCTAATCTAAATATTTTAAGTAATTTAAAGCTAATATACCAGCATGATGTTGGACCACCCATGTCTTCTTGTGTTCATTTCAATCAGATCTGAAATAACCAGTTCAGTAATTTCAGCCTAACGTGAGAGAAAGCAGTCCCTGCTGTGAGTAATTCCCTTTGTGAACTTCAACAGTTGGATGCAGTATGAACCAAGAAATACAAGGCGCTTGTAAGAAAGGAAGACAAAAATCATGGGTGATTTTAATGTGTATACAGTCTGGATTAAGCAAATTTGCAAGGACAACCTTGAGGGAGAATTCACTGATTGTACTTGATTGATCTAATTGAAACATATAGAATTCTTATTGAGTTTGACAGGGTAAATACTGTGAGGGTGTTTTCCCCTCATGGGAGAATCTAGGGCCAGATGGCACAGTCTCAGAATTTAGGGGTGTCACTTTAAAACTGAGATGATAGGGGAATTTCATCTCTCGGAGAGTTGTGAGTCTTTTGAATTCTTGCCACAAAGAGCTGTGGAGGTAGTGCTTGTGTATATTTAATGCTGAGATAGACAAATTCTTGATCAGTAGGCGAATCAAGTGTTATGGAAAAAGAGCAAGAAAGTGGACATGAGGAGTGTCAGATCACCCATGATCCAGCTGAAGGATAGAACAGGCTCGAGGGGCCAAATGGCCAATTCTTGTTCCTATTTCTTATGGTCATATTAGAGATTCTTTCTTGGAGTAACATATTGTTGAACCAACCAGGGAGCAGGTTTTTTTTGATTTAGTATCGTGTTATGGGATGGTATTAATTAATGATATAATTTTAAAGGATCCTCTAGAGATCATAGCATACTGGAATTTCAAATTCAGTTTGAGGATGAGAACGTGAGTCCTGCATGTGCAGTCTGGTCTTAAACAAACTAATTAAATAAGCATGAGGACACACCTAGACCTAATGGCGTAAAAGCAAGAATAAAAATTAGGACTGTTGATGCACAGTGGCAAACATTTAAGGTGATATTCAATTCTCCCAAGTGAAATATATTCCAGATGAAGAAAAATGTAAAGGCAGAAAAAAAAAGCAGATTTGGCTAAGCAAGAAATACAAAGATAACACCAGGGGAAAAAAATTCTAAAGCATAAAATTTTGCAATAGTCAGTGGTAGGTTGGATAGTTAGGAAACTTTTAAAGGCCAACTAATATTACTAAAAAAGTAATATAAAGAGTTAATCATGAATGAAGACTAGAGCAAAAAAAAAGACTGCAAAAGCTTCTGTAAATATATAAAAAAGGAAGAGAGTACCTAAAGTGAATGTTGGTCC